ATGTCCCAATAATTCCTCATAATCCCGTTGTAATAACGCTTCAACTGCCATGTAATCTTCCTCAATTTTTCATGCAACTTTTCGGAAAGAGAGTGCTAATCTCTCCCAATTTCTTAAAGTAGTCTGGCTTTCTGAAACCATAAAGGAAGCTCTCTCATTTTCCCGTGGTCTGTTCATTCGAAGGGTGACTCTGGAAAAATAGCTATGGAAATGGTTTCCTTAATTTGCATAATTCAGAGTTCAACGCTTAATCCTTTTCACCAGAAAAGATAGTGTTGGCTGATGAGAGATGGTTTTGGGTCTGTTGGAGGAATGGTGGAAATTGGGGATAATTTATGGATAAGAAAAGAAGGAGGAATTTTAATGACTTTTTATTACCAATCTGTTCGTCTGCAGTGCATGGTTTGAAGACAATGCGAGATGATCTTTATATTTTAATCGATATGCTGAGGATTAGTATTGCCATTGTAATATCAGGGCAATTTCGGTTTCGGTTGCTATAAATTGTGTGGAGTACGGTGTCAACTTATATGTGGCCTGCACATCTTACAAATTGAACAGTATCAGGAAAAAATATGGTGGCCATATTTTTTTTATTTCCCTTGAATCCTAGAGCTAAGAATGAGCTTTATAGTGCATTCTTCTGCATTGCGTTTAAAAATATATTAAAATATATTTCCGTTATTCCATCGTTTACTTCCAAAATTTACTTCAAGCTAGTTCGCAACGATTCATCTAGCATTTCTTGAATCAATGTTTTACTTGGATCTGTCTGACCTGGCCGACTTTGACTTTCCAAGCGGTTTGTGCCTCTGGTGTTTTGGCGATAATGAGTCCGGATGGAATTTGTCGCACCCGGTGTGGAAGGCTAAATTATTGTTATTGTCCCCCAGACTTCCGTCGTCTTCGTCCATGGTCTGGGTTGCACCGATTAGTTCATTTTCCTTTCCTTGGTGTTTGTCGTGGGTGCTGTAATGTTACTCGAGAGTAAAACGCTAGTACTTAGATATGAAGTTTCAGGAATAAAATCAAAATTTGTTGTACGCAATCCATAAAAGTCGGATTGCTCCTCATCAAATACTTGTTTGGAAAATGTTGTTACTAAAGTAAAAACTTTTGTAACATTTCTCAGTGAGAACCGTTTCACATTATTTTTGATAGATTTCCTGTTAATTTATAACTGTCTAGATGTAACTAATTCCAATAGTTAACTGATTTTTAGTTACAAGCATGATTTTATAAAATGTTATACAAATTATTCACGCAACGCCAAGTATAACGTAGATTATCTCAACATCATAAATTTAAGCTGAGAAATCAATAAGCAAATCCCCCGACGCACTGGCCACGTCCGTGCCTACTCTCGCTCATCCGCTGCCTCTCCCTTAACTTTCTCCACTTTCTCCTAAAACTAATACAACTCACGTCTGTTACGTGATTGGGAAAATTCAGACATTTCATCAACAAACTTAACGCAGCCATCTCAACCCACTTTTCTCCATTGCAATGAAATAAACGCCGCTTAACTTTCGTCTGCCAATAGAAGTAATCTGTAGGGTTGCCGCGGGTAGCAAAAATGCTGCCCGTTACCCGACCCGCTACCCGCAGCTCCACTACCCGTACCCGCACGGGTACCCGTGCGGGTACCCGTTACCCGCTACCCGTTATGAGAATTAAGATAAAAACTAATCAACCTTCCGAAGAAATATGATTGAATCAACATTTGATCATTTGGGTGTAGACGTACATATGTGATATAATGCTATGCAAGTAAGTAGCCCATGCCATAATTTTCTATATCGATGTTATTAGGTGCTTCTTAAACTACTTATAATGGAACCTTTTCTATGTAGCTACACAAGGATTTTCTCGCGAGCTATATCAAACAATCAAGTCAACAATTAGGAATTACCTATCTTTCCTTTGAATGACCCCTTTTAAGAAAACTATTGGGGGCCAGAGTTCAAAGTCCACCATGGTGGACGACATTGGACTTAAGCTCTGTCCAGTGGAATGAAAACTCCAGTGGAGGAAAAACATGGAGAACAATTACTTTAAAATTCAACTTTGCCGATAAATATTTTTCTTTGAAATGACCAGTCAACGGAACGATAAGTATCACGTAATCGCTAATTTTTGGTTGACGATTTGATGACTTGCTATACAATCTTGGTGTATCTAGCTTGAAGAAAAAATATTACTTGGTTATTTGTCAGTTTGATTTTTTGAAATTTTGATCTAAATGAAGTTTTCATTTAACAAAATTTTTCAAATCGACAAATTTTTTGCCTTTAATCTGCTTCAGGTTTGTCACCAGCACAAATTAAAATATCGGCAGTCTTACATTAAATACACCCAAATGCAAGTCAAATTAGCACTGATGTTTTAGAGCAGGCAAATTATGCTTAACAAACAATAGGTGCTCCGCATTTTCTGGAGATAAAAAGTATTTGAGGCTGCCGTAAACTTTTTGGCTTCCGAAAAGACAAACTGGATATACATAAACGCTTGGAAAATGGTATATTTTGATGTGGATAAATAATAAAATTTTAATTTTATAAATGTAAGGCTTTATGAGCTTTTACCTTCGTTTGTGAGCCAATTTATATTTACAATTGAATAAAAACTGAACTACCCGTACCCGTGCGGGTAGTTCTAGCTACCCGCAGATAACGGGTACCCGCAAAAATCGTGCGGGTATGCGGGTAACGGGTACCCGACCCGTTACCCGCGGCAACCCTAGTAATCTGCAATTGAGCAGCCAGTCCGTAAGTCGTCGAAGTGAACAGGAAAAATCGCTCTTCATGTTCCACGAAAAAAAAGAGAAATTGGTCACAACGGAGTTGAGGATGTGATGTATCGTTCCAAATTGCCAAATTTCTTTCCATTAACTCACCAAAGTAAGTAAAGTCACGTCACAGGCATAAAAAGTCGCTCTTTTTTCAAGTGCAAACAAAAATTCCACTCTTTGATGTTTCTTTGAAAGAGAAAGTACAATATTTTGCAGGTACTTCGTAAGAAGTTGGGTTTGTTGAAGGGAAGTTTTAGGCGGCGTTGAAGGTGTGAAGTCATTAGAGATGAAGGAAATGGGCAATTACACTGATGAGTCAATTTCCTTGAAACATTATGCTGCGAGGTGCAAATTATACCGAAAGACAATGGACTCTGGTGGGAGAGAGAAAGTAATTAGATAATTCTTAATTGTGGGTTCGTGCAGTTATTTATTTATGTCAGAAGTTGGATGTTGGGTAGAAATTGTTGTTTGACTTATGATGTCCATGAAATCCTCTGCTAACACAAAGTACCGAATTATGTATTTACCGACTTTGTGCAATGCAATTTTTGTTCGAAATTTATGATCAAAATTGAGATTAATCTTAATTTTCTCCTTCGCAGAACGGACATCCCACAAAATTTATTTGAGCAACCATCTCAAGTTTCCCTCAAAAATAAAATGCAACAATTGGTCCACCGAGAAAACTTATTAATTATCTGCGACAATTCGAATAAAATGTCTCGTCCGTGCTGCCGGAATTAATGAAAAGGTTCGCCCGGTGGCGAAACGTGACAGTGGTGACATGTGCAATATTGGGAAACGTGATTTTATTGAGATGTGTCAAAGCAGGGTTTTCAGATTGTTGTAGATTGAAATAGCAATCAACAATTTCGTCAGTTCAATCTTATTTGCAAAACCTAATTGTTTTTGCACGGATTAAAATTTTGCAATTAAAACCACATTCACACATCCTTACTCTCAAATTTACATAAAATATATATTTCTGGAGACTTCCTTCTCCATTTCACCACTCATCTCGACACACTCTTCAATTCTCAGCAAACTTAACGATCCGTGATCATCACTCACTTCACTTCGTCCTCTCATGATTCATCTTCTCCGTGAATATGTGCCTTCCTCTCTTCTCGGCCATAATACCCGCTTTTACCACCCAATCCAGCTCACCCAGTCCAATACATACATAACTGCAATTCTTCCTACTTTCTCTCCATATGCTTTCTACGTTATCCCTGCTTTCGCCTAGAACCACGAACGAATGCTTTCTCTGCCTGCGCCACTAACGAAGGAAAAAGGAGAGCTCGGGCTTAGCTTTATCAACAGATTAACACGAACCAATCCACTCCACTCGTCAACTTGGAAAGTTCTCGAGAAAAGCAACAGAATGTTATGCACCAGACTGAAGCAGTTTTTCAGAGTATTTATTTTACCGCAATCTCATCCTCACTTTTTCTTTGCTGTGACAAAAAAGGTCTTTATATTTCCGAGGTTTCCAGTGCGGTCTGGTCATTTCTTGAGTAAACACAATGCCAGGCTCACCCCTGCTTTCACCATGATCAAATAAATCCTCGTGTTTGCAATTAAGCAGGATGAGGCGGATGGATGGATGGAGAGAGAAACTTGTGTGGTCTGCAAAACTGCGATACGATAGAATTAGAAGAAAGAACGCCTGCTTTCTCCCAAAAATCGTATCATGAGAACTTTCACAATTTCAAATAATGTGATTCTTTTCGAAAATATGTGTTATTTATTCCTAAATAATCCCGAATTTATCTCCCAGCCCTTATCACGCGGCGTAATTACAAGCAATAAATGTTGCGAAGGTGGAGTCCCAACACCACCTCCGACACCACTTGCACTTCTCGCTCAGACTTCTCCACATCAATCCTGAGCACTAATTATTATTGCCAAGTTGCGGAATTTGGCTCACGAACACGGTGGGCGTGGGCGCGTTTAGATGTAAAGGAGCAGGTTGCATGACGGGATGAATTTACTGGAGAAAGTACAAGAGTTTGCAGAGTAGAGTTGAATGTGCGATAAAATACGACGGCACGCGAAATTCCGATACAGAAAGGATTTTCGTTTAATCGAAACGGCCCTGGTTTTGGGTGAAGTTGAATTTTTAGATATTCTAAAATATGGGAGGTCGAGTTTTTTAATGGTTAAGGAATTTGTGCGAGATACATAAATAATTTTAAATTTTGTATACACATTTACTTAATAATTTCTTTATTCTTTGATTAATTCACAAAATTGTCGTAAAAACTACTCCAGAAATAATAACTTCGGATAACAACAAAGGAACACGACTTGTCCATAAAACCGCTATTAATACTCGCATACTTACAATTGTGGACTCATGCTTATTTTTATTGTTATGATTTGTTTGTTCTTTTATCGAGACCCGGCTCTAATGTAATGTTCACCGCGACAATTGACGTCATAAAACCCTTTGCCAACAACAATATCTAATGTTCCACTAACAGCATTTTGTGATTCTGTCAAAAACTCGTAAAGTTAATAATAGAAAATGGGCACGAATTTTTATTGCCTTTAATCAGCATGGATGAAATGGCAACCTAAAATTATTTCCGTGTCTTTTCAACTTGTTATTTTTTGCCTTGTACATACATATTTCTGCAAAAACTTTTTGCAACTTCCTGTTATTTCCTGATCGCTGGGTTGCTGATTAAAGGGTCCGCATTGCAATTCAGTTCATGTCTGGATACGCGATCGGGGAAAAATTTCCTGCCACAGTTTCCACAAGGGAGCAAACTGTCGAGGTGAGACGAGTAAGCGGATTGAGCTACTTTATGGAAAGTAAATAAGTGGATTTTTTTAGTATATCAATTTCTCCACGGGGAAAGAAATAAAGTATTTATTTACTTGGCACAAATTACTTACAATCGATGTGGGCCAAAGTTCTGATTATAATGGGTGGGAGTGGTTGCGCTTGGACTTTTGGCAACTTGGCGACGACCAAGCTTGTAGCAGAAGTTTGCTTAGATGTTTGTAATTTAGGATTTAGATTGCGTCGATTTGCTGACATTTTGAAAATATTTTGATATTAAACGCGTGTATGTGTATTCAGCTGTCGGAGATGTAGAACGAGGAAGGTGAGATACATATGTTTGTGTGTATGCATCGATTAAACAGGTTTGGCTTGTGTGGATAGCTGTTCGCAGAAGTGTTGAATCAATGAATATACATGCACAACTAGATATATAACCATAACTATGGACACCATTGTCTTTGGTGTTGGATTACTTGGAATAGTTTACTAGGATGGTTTCGGTGTAGGAGTATGATCCACTTTTACCACCCCCGCAACTCGACCCATCATCTCCCCCTCATCCACTTACTTTATTTATACACATTCCCAATTAAAACAAGCCAAAATTAATCAGAAATCCATCAAGTTTTAATTCACTCCATGTTTAATTTAGATTTGGGCGAGAAAATTCTTTAACGCGAAACCCCAAGTTCTCAATCTTAAAGTCTCGATGTGCTTCTCAACTTCCTTTCGAATCTCTCATCCGCACATCCCAGCCTCACCATGGTAGGAAAATCAATAGAAAATTAATTAAGGACGGGAAACACCACGGCAAACCAGAGCCGGAGAAAGTTTGATGCTCATTTCATTTGACTACACAGTGATTTCAACCCAGTAAATGAATCACCTTCCTTAATGAACTTCACTTTGACTTCCATTAGTAATTCTATCCGGTGTGGATTTTCCTCCAGAGTTGCAGCCTTTCCGCCTGTTTAAATAAAAGAGCGGATTTTTTCTTTGTTTGATTTGTCGAAAGTTTCACTTTTTACTTTAATTGCGCTTCCAAACCAGACGGAAAAATGGGAGAGTTTTCGTTACAATTTTCCAATGACAAGCTGTGCATACAAAGGTCTGATTTTGGTGGAAATTTTTAGGATACGGATCTTAAAAGTATAAAGTAAATGAAAAATTTGGGTTGATTAAACAACTTGTAGGGTTATGGATTGATATAAAATGATGTGTTTTACATGTGTAGTTGTTAGTTTATACTTTGATAGCTTTCTATTCGTACGATTACGATGTTGTTCTACTTTGTTATCATTGCTGTAGTTGGGGTACCAATTTGTGGTGTAAGTTTAAATAGATAAAAATTAAGAATAATATGAGATAACTTACAATGTCTATAGCCCAGTAAAGTCTGCATAAACGTGAATATGTAAACTTGTAAATATTTTCATGGAAAGTTAGCTTAAAATCAAGTGGAAACTTAAATACTGTAGAGCAAAGGGTTCTGTTTATTGAACAGAATTCTGTAAAATAATTTTAGGAAACTTTACAGTTTACTGAGAATTTCCAAAATATGGGCATGCATGTATATTCTGTATAATTTTATTCACATTTTAGGCCCAAGAGCAACAATCTACTGTCGATATTCCGCCTCAAATTACAAACGAAATGTTGGCCTTGATCGCAAATCGTCCCAACGTACAAGCTCAACAATATCCGTATCCGCAGCAGCAATATCAGCAACAATATCAGCCACAAGTTCAACCATATCAGCCTCAGGCTCAACAATATCAGCCGCAATTTCAGCAATATCCTCAACCAACGCCAGGACCGGGTGTGACGCAAGATGGTTTGACACAAAGGCCACCATTCTCATATGACATCTTCACACGGCCTCCACTTGGACCAATTTTTGCTAATTTGTACCCAAATTTTCCAGGATTTACAGGTAGGAAATGATGTACTGATGTAAGGTCGGACAGGCCGATGTAAAAAGTTATCATATTGGATTTGGTAGGATTTGGTTAGTATAATTTTAAATTAGTGGAATCTTTATACGAATTAAGATCATGATCAAATTATGAAGTTTGAATTTATGTAATAAACTTAAAATATTGATTTTATAAAATCCGTAAAATGTACTCTGAACTCACTTGACATATTTTACATAGAATATCTTCAACAAATCACCTTCTATCCGTTTTGCCATTTGATCTAAATTGTTCGGATTAAAATAAAGAAATATGAAAATTACGTTTTGAGTTGTTCATTGAATGTACAGAAGCAGTCACTCAGTAAATACTTCAATCAAGGGAGAGCAAGCAATTAACCGGATCACATGCTGTGAAATTAATGCAGTCCAAAGGGCACCTTAATTAAGACGCGTTAGCTAATCCTAAGTTTATAAGTTGTAGTCATACTATTTAGTTTGCGTAGGATTTAGTGGAGCTTGAGTCTACATAGCTACATATATCTATTTCTTGGAGAATATTTCTTGCATTCAAGAATAGGGGAGATCCAGAGTAAATAAGATTAATTATCATTAATGTTGTCTCAAGGTTTGGTAAACAGTATCAACCCTAAACTACGCAGCACTTCGTAAACTATGACCCTTATCACAAATACTACATGCTATTTATAGAAAATTTCCTAATTTATATAACGTTAAAAATAAAAATATTCAAAAAACTATTCCGAGCAAGACCAGGCCAGAGAGACCAAACAAAATCCGTACAATTTTAGAATTCAGGCAAATTTATTACAAACAATTTCTTAAAAATATGACACATTTTGAAATATATTTCCTAATCTACACTGCTCAATGTCTACGTTTTTGTGCAGCAGGTTCACAAAAAAATTCGCCGTCAGACCCTTTATTACAGCCCAAATCGTCACAACAAGCTCCACTCCCTGGTTTACACGTATGGTAAGGTGGCAGGCAGCGGAACTATAAAAAATTAGAATAATTGGCATTAGTCCTCTTAAGGATTAGACTACTAAAAATACCTGTTTCGATTTCACATGGTTAAAAAAACTGCACAAAATTAACAAAGTTGTAAAAAATAAAATAAAACCGAATTTCGAGTTGAGGATCATGTTTAGTCAGGCACTAATACGTAAACTGATATCTGCACTCACCATAGCAGGCGAATTTGTTAAATACACAATTTCAAGGCAAATTATCATAGCGCTTAACGTTTCAAGGAATTTTTATAACTGTTTCTTCGTTCTTACTGAAATATTCTGTCATAAAGAGATAAAATAATTTGCAATATTTTATGCATGCAGATGTATGCGTTATTACTGTGTCAAGATTGGATGGACGCATGCTCAACAGAAAAATTATGAGACGTCGTCTAAAAATGTGTTGGGTTTTCCATAATCTTTTTGTTTATTGTAAATTTGAGGTTAACATAATAAAATATTTCTTATATGCTTAAATTAAATATTTGTTTTATACAAATCTCAATCAAGTCTTCTGGTCATCTGACTGACAAGGGACACTCACGACCTGTCGTTTGAGTCCAGGGTACCCACTATGTTTTTTAGAATCTACTGGGACCCCTGATGAAGGATTCATTCTTATTTCCGTGTAAAACTCATATTTGGCCCAATGGCGTGGCGCCAAACTTAAAAATTTGCATTTTCGACCAATTTCAAACCCCCATAACTTTTGCAGTTTATGTCGGATTTTCAAGTTTTAAGCTTAAAATGATCAGAAAAGTCGAAATTTTTGAGAAAAAAATAAAAATACAAAATTTCTAATTTTTGAGATAATTTTAGCATTTTTTCGACGAACCCGAAATTTCGAAATTTTGTGAAAAGTTAAAAGTGATAATTTTGGAAAAAATTTCATAGAATACCAAAGTTGAACTCCTTGTCATGATTTTTGCCAAAAATTTTGAAAATCCGTCCAGGATTTCAAAAGTTATGGCGGTTTTAAAATGAAAAACCATCAAATTTGGCGAATTTGGCGCCACGCCATGGCGCCAAATATGAGTTTTACACGGAAATAAGAATGAATCCTTCATCTGGGGTCCTAGTAGATTCTAAAAAACATAGTGGGTACCCTGGACTCAAACGACAGGTCGTGAGTGTCCCTTGTGAGATGAAAATGTCGTCTTTCATTTTAACGTAGCCATCAAAATTAATCATTCTAAATTATAAACTAGATCAATCCTGTAAAAGGCTGATTCATTTGTGGAGAAAATGTAATAGTAAATGTGACCAATTTAATGGACGGCGTATATTTATACGAACACGGTGCTATGCAATGGAATTTTGACATTGCCATTTTTAGCCTATTTTAAACTGGAACAGATCAATTATTGAATTAGTCCAGTTTTCATATTTTAATAAAAAATGAGAAAGTTCATTAATAATATTCAACGCAATAAAGTAAAAAAAAAAACATGAGACTGAACACATCAAAACAGAATTATACATAAAATCAGTCATTTCATTATTGTAAAACAGCCGTCATTTTTCTGCATGATAATCCTCACATATTTTTCTTCTGTTTGTCTGCCCTCCAAAATTTCTTGAAAAATCGCCTCATCCCACACAATTCAGATCCTTTAATCTCTTCTTCTTCATCTGCCACGTTGTCCTCATTTCTTGGTGGCTCATGCAATTTAATGGGGCGACTCCCTTCAGGGTCGCCTTCCCTCTGTTGATCCCTGCCCCCATGGTTCCTCATGGACATATTTTCAATGATATGAGAAGCCAACGTCTTAAATGCAGTTTCCACATTTTCCGAAGTCTTTGCTGATGTCGTGATGTGGAAGAGTCCATGGAGGGAGATCTCCTCCTTTAAGAAAATGTGGAAAATAATTAAAATTAGAAGCCATTCAAACGTTACATTTGCAAAACTAGTAACATAACTTTGTAAGATTCTTGAATTTGTGAAACTCTTTGGCATAAAATACCCTCGTAAATTTACCAAATTTAGTAAATAATTGTATGAGAAGTAACGCATTTGTTATTAAAAAGTGTGACTTTGATCACAACTTCAACACATCAGCCAAGCATTAAACTTTGCGGAATTTTGTTATGAGCAAAAAGCCACCTACAAACTGTATGAACTAACGACACTACATAAAATGTACATAAATTGCAGGTGCACGTAATTCTTTTACGACAATTAAGTACATTACAGATGAGGTGTCGTGAAAGCCCCTGTGAAAAAAATCCTCACCTCAACTTCCTCCTTTGTCGGTTTTCTACATGAATTTGTCTCACTTGTGTGCTTGTAGCAGGTACAATTTTCCAAGTCGGATCGACATCCCATTATTATTTTCTCGGCTTCGGGAGCATGAAGATTTGCAAAATCCAACCAGCCTTGAACACTCTTTAGAGTTTCGAGACGGGTGCAATCATACGCGATAATGATGCCCTGAGCATTTCGTACGTATTGTGGAGTTATCGCTTTAAAAACGTAGTTTCCCCCGGTGTCTTGCTGCGAACGGAGAGACAGAAGTTGTTAAAATAATTATGGGGAATGAATTTGAATAATTAATCAGTAAATTACTCACAAGAAACAGCTTAACAGGGTCATCACCAACTTGGATGTTCACACTCCGCTGGAGAAATTGGAATTATGAATTGAGAAAAAGCTTAAAAAGATGACAAGAAGTTTTTGACTTACGAAATCAGCTCCAATCGTGGAAATTTCATAACCATGAAATTCTCCGTTCTGCATGCAAAAAATATGAAATCTGTTAAAATCCATTATTTTTAATGCAGATATTAATGAATTTCCACGTACAACTAATCTGTTAACAAGTCCAGTCTTTCCAACACCAGCATCCCCCAAAGTTGCAATGACAAGTTTCTTGAAGCTAAAAATGGCATAATAATCCAATAAGTAATAAATCATTAGAATAAAACTAAAACTAATTACGGTTTGTTAGGATCCACGCCACGAATGAGGGCAAGATTGCATGGCAAGACTGGATAGTGACAGACGGGGCAGCTTGTCGATTTCGCGAGAGCATGCAATATGCAATATTTGTGAAATACATGTTCACATCCTGTCACCATGAAGTTGTCGTTTGCGAATTCTATGAAATCAATTCATAATTATGACAGCTTTCCATAATTTAATTACCAAATCAAAATTACCTGAATTGAAGTCCCCACAAATCCCACACTCGAGGAGACCCGACATTCTGCTTTTTGGTATGTATGTACGTAGTGCTTAAAAAATGATGAACCGTTAACGGTCGTAGCTGGAAACGCACTAACTGGAAATATGGTGAATGATATTATATTCAACTAAAATATGGACTGACGTCTAATGATGACTCATATTGAATTAATTTGTCGACTTAGCAGAGTTTGATGGATAATTAAAAAATTCAGTGAATCTCAAATTACTCGTATTTATGTAGACTTCTCTAATGACGAGCAGAATGAAGATATAGCATTTCATTCATGGGTATGTATGTGTGCCCTACTAAAATTGAGAGAGGGAATAAAGGACGACACATACATATGCATCCATGTACACACTTAACGAAGGTTATTCTAGTCTATTTTCATATGAAGCATAATAGATAATTGTGTATCCATTTAAATGCTGGATACTCGCAGTACAGTTCAGCGTGACATTCCGTTTCCTTCCTGTCTTGTGCGTTGTTGGGTCTTTTTTCTAAGACGGAGATTATTTTATGCACAATACCTCGTGAGTGAGGCAGGAATGTACAGTTGTGTTTGTTCTTTACATGAGTTCAGTTCATGAATGATAAATACAACGTATTTTACTTAAATGCATACTGTGAATATTGTTGAACTGTATGGGTTGACGGACTCGTAAATATTTAGTAATGACAGTGTTGCATTTTATAATATGTACGTACTTATGTATCGTATATTACTTATCAGGTATCTACATAATTCGGACCATTTCATGGCTCCATGACGCTTAATGAAATGATTTTCATGGTGCATAACATGAACCCGGTGCCCTTCTGATCTGTACATTTATTCCAACAAAGCTATGAGTCACCTCTGTATTTACTAAAGTATTTAGCTACTTAAAATTCTATTAGTGAAGCCATCCATCCATCCGTCCATTTAACTCTTACGAAACCACGAAAAGTTAACGCTGTTATCTAACATGCATAACAAAATCTCATCCCCATCGATGCATAGGATAGTGGTCTCATTTCATATGCAGTGCAAACTCTGGCAAATATTTCCAGTTTTTATTGCATGGGATTTCCGTCCGACTGGAATTGCTACAGACAATTATGAAGGGAATGTAGAGTAACTTCAAGTTATGTGAGGTTGGCGAATTTCATGATGCACTTTTCAAAAACCTGCCAAATTCTCCATTAAACAATTGGAGATGGCTTTTCAATTTTTATTATGGGGAACAGACGTCACATATAAGTATTGCGGTAAAACCGCTGAAAAATCTATTTTTTCAAAACTAAAGATACTTACAATATTCTACAAAAAGGAGAGAAAAAGTAACAAACAAGGCGTAGAAAACATTTACCTGTATATAATATATTAGGAAAAAAATAGGAGCAATTTTTGGGTATTTCTAAAGATTCCTTATTATCTTAAATATGCTAATAAAAATATAAATTACGTAAACTATATGTTAAGACGAACATGAATAGCTCTGTAGGATTATAAACTTTTATTACTGGTTTTTAATGCATGAATTCCTCAGTTGTAGCTGTGCACATTAGCCACGTATTTGTTCTCATTGTATTTCCTAAACATTACATGGTTGTCAATTAGGACGAGACATTTCCGATATTATTGTTTTTTATTCTTTATTTTACCTATTTTGATTGCCCCTATTTTTTCCCTAATATATTATATACAGGTAAATGTTTTCTACGCCTTGTTTGTTACTTTTTCTCTCCTTTTTGTAGAATATTGTAAGTATCTTTAGTTTTGAAAAAATAGATTTTTCAGCGGTTTTACCGCAATACTTATTTGATGCTTTTCACCTTAATATTAAAAATATGATAATTCAAATAAGTAAAAAAAATACGTTTTAATTGCAACGAGCAGTCCAACTTTAATTCAAGAGATTCAAATTGTTAATATTACAAATCATGACAATATTTTGATACTCTATATATATCTATAAGGCGCGCAGCCGAGCCATCTCCGCTATAAGTTTGTCGGGTGGTTTCGCAGTTAATTTGTTGTCGTCCTGTTCCAATATAGCGACTCCATCCAGTGTCCTGACGCGACTTAAGGCAACGTAGGCTTGCCCATGGGCAAAAATCTCGGCTCCCAAATAGATCACTGCTTTATCTACGGTGATTCCCTGTACCTTGTGCACTGTCACTGCCCAGCAAAGGACAATAGGTAGCATCCATCTTTGAATTTCTTCCTTTGCTTTCCCTGTGTATGTCACATCTGTAGGTTTTAACTCATAGACACCTTCCCGAGTCCCAGCAATGCGCCAATCGTCAAATTTCACCAATACACTTGAAGGGAGATCGCCGTGATGATGTTGTTCCCTTGCAAGTTCTTCCCACTTGAACCCGACGACCGTTCCCATTGAGCCATTGACTAAATAACGGTTTGTCGGCGAATTCCGGATTACCATAATTCTTGATCCAACTGCTAAGTCAATGGAACTTACGAAGCCACCACATTTATTGCTGTCTCTGTGGCTATATGCCAACGGAGCACGGGATCCAGCTTTGGTTCCAGAAAAGAAACTATCCCTCGCTTTGATAGTATAGACTTTTATGTGAGGGTCACTACGAAAAGTCCTGGTCTTGAGTCGGTTGTAAATATATGCCTGATTTCTTGTAGGAAATATTCTAATAGCATCTTTGAATTTATCTTTCATAGCGGTGCTCGAAGTATCTTCACTAAACTCTCGCATCCGCAACTCATGGAGATCAGTAGTGGTGATGTTTCCTTCTCGTAGGTTGTTACAGATATGTAAGAGTGGATCTTGACCCTGTCGCATGTTGACCGTAAGTTCTTTAAAAGCGAAATTCTTCCAAAGGTTTTCTTCCGCTCCTAACTGTCGTGGCTGATCATAGATGCAGTGCCCATTAACAGGCTCCAACTGGAATAGATCTCCCACGACAATAACATTTTTCCCTCCAAATGGCAGCGTGTTGTCGAAACATTCTCCCAAACGTTGGCTTACTTGACGGAATAACTAAACAAAAATATTTTAGTTAACTTATTAAAGATGACTTATAATATTTCCTAAAATTACGTATTAATTTAGTTATTGATAATATACTAACCTCATAAGATATCATTGATACTTCATCCATGATGATCCACTCAACATCCCGAAATTTATCTCGCATTCTCTGCAGCATTATTGCGCCAAGAGGAGCGTAACGTGGAACAGAACCAGATTCTACAGCAAGTTGGAAAGTGCGATGAAGGGTTTGTCCATTTATATTTAAAGCTGCCACTCCAGTTGGGGCGGCCAAAAGTACACCTGCTGGGCCTGGTCCATCTTCCTTCGCACAGATGAGGTTCGTCATCAAGGAAATTAGGAACGACTTTCCTGTTCCACCAGCTCCAGAAATGAAAAGTTGTAGTTGACCTCTGCTAGGATCGCATAAATGTCCTTCAATCATGTCGTATATGAATTTTTGGTCTTGGTTCATTTTTAGCTTCTCAGCCATGAAGCAGGCTTCATTCAGAAGTACAATCCTATATTCTTCTTGAGCTGGAAGCACATTACTTCCGTCATAGACGTCAGGAAGGTATTGATACTCCTCGACCTCATGGATTGCAAGCGTTTCTTGGGGGTCCTGATTAAGATCAGCTAGATGAAGAGCTACTGCTTCAAGATCTTTCTCTATATCAGGACGTATTAGAGGGAAGTCCAAAGTTGTCCTAATATTGGCCTTATTCTTCTCAAATGCATCTGTAACAGATTCCCCGTCCGCCGTGAAATTCTCCTCAATGAATGGAACGTACAGTAGTAGATGGCTGTAGATAAAGTTTTCCGCGTCGGAGTCACTATGAAATGGTGGGCTCTTGATTACGGCGTACTTTGCTCTTTCTCTCCAGAGTCCCATAGACCTATCCTTAAGGTAGAAAGATCGTGGCATCAATCGATTGGCATGTAGTAGTTGGTGTTCTTGTTCCTCTCCTTCATCAAAATCATCATCTACCTGTTGATAATTTCGTACGGGCTGATACTTGGAGGCGAATTCGAATAAACATATATTTCGTAGATCTTCAGGACGATTGCAATATTTGTCAATTATATTACTAGAATTAAAATAGGCAACTTAAATTTCCTGTTTTATTTATACATTTTTTTCATGCAATTTTACTGTACATACCTTGCAAATTGTACCTCATCCCTTTCTAGATATGCATTTTTCTTCAACAATCTGATGCGATCACCAGGTAGATAGGTCGGGATGTATACAAATGCACGTGACGTATGTCTCATAGGAAGATTTGCCATACGATAGGCAGCTTCTTGGGATCCTACTGTCCTGCGACTTAATAAAAGCCGAGAGACCTATATGAAAATATGAATGATGAATAGTACCTCTTAAAATTTTTTGGAAAACTAAGTAACGAAATCCATACCTTCTCCATTTGTACCCGTATTGGTTGTCGACTTTCACGGAGAGTCTGAAGGGTGTGTCGAATATCATCACGGAGGGTTTCAGGTTCATTTTTCCCGATATACTTTGCAGCGGCAACGCCTGTTACAATCTGTATATCCATGTTGCATCGAAGAATCTTCAGCAGTGTCGGATGGTAGTTGTTCACCCGCTCTTCCCCTTGACAACGCCTTAGGATTACTCCATGACCATTGTTGGTTTCTTCCAGAGTGGTTTCAGATGCAAGAGGTCGTGGAAACCCAAACCGACACGTGGAACCTTTCTTAAAGCACGTGGTCGTATCTTTGTGCGACTGATATCGCCGTACAATATCCTCCATTCCACTACCTAGAAGTCGGCACGACACGTTGCGGTCGATAAAGTTTATTCCTTCAGGTGTGGAAAGGTTCGGTGCATCCTGAATCCATATAAGTGAATGAAGGTGTGGACTACCTCGGTCTTGGAACTCTACCCGGAATGTATAGTCCACTACTGGCTTTCCAAATATCGTTTGATCCTGGTTCAGTAATTTTATTAATTCATTTGTCCTGAGATTGAAATGGCGGGCGGCGGCGATAGGATTTGAGTTTAATAACTCCCGACGAAAGTCGAATGGCATATCTTGAATATTGTCCGGAGGAGGGTCGTCTTTGGGATGACCGGCCTTCCACATTGCATTGAGCACATCAGCTGAGCCCATGTCGTCGTAGGAAACCGTTAGAAAAAATATTGGCGGACCAAGCCTCATAATCATTGCCATTATGTCCCCCGTATACCTCTTCCAATAAGATCTGGAGCCACGAATTGCGCTCATGTATAGATGTAAATTTTCAGCTGCAGGAGCGTTATCATTTTCAGAATCCTGGTATTTCATGTTCCCACAGATATTAATTTTTGCTCGGATAATCGACTCTTCAGATCTTGAAAGTGCATAAAAGAGATAATCTATGCGGTGGAACCGAGGATCTCCCGACATTACCCTTGTCTGAAAGTATGCATGCGTGGTGATGCGAAATCGTTCATCTCTCTTTTCATCCAATCCAAATTTTCCATGTGGGAAGCAGGTGATGAAACATTTTTCTTCTAAGTGATTCTCAGAAGTTAATCTCACGGGTGGAGCTGCAGTTCGATTGAGATTGAATTTTTCCAGCTGTGGCTCTATGTAGTCCATTGGGTGTAGCAAACAGTCTTCCGCAGCTTCTTCACCAAAAACCACAGTTTCTGGCGGCAGATCTTCTGGGAGGTCAGACGGTCCCGGAATCGCTGGAGGCGGTGTTATGTCGGGTCCTTGGTCGATTATTGTGAGTTTGAGGGGAGTAATGGTTATGATGGCGGATTCAGGACCTCCCACGCAATTTTTGTTGACAATAGATCTAATATGATTAATACTTTCTGGGTGGTTACGATCGAGCCTAAGGATTACTGCTTTGGCGGACTTAGCTAAAGATATATGGCCTTGCTGACTCCTAGAATGACTGTCGAAGTAGAAAATGTAACGCTCTGTCCGAATCAGTCCCATCGTATAAGCACCTGTGTGAATTTAGAATTGATTAAAAAATATTTCAATACATTTTAATTAAGATTTCTTCTAACAAACTTGCCTGCCGTAATGAGCCCGTAATTTGATTGGCCATGAAGGAATTGGGATAAAGCATCAGCTACTGAATTTGTTGTGATCGTTTGGGCCTCCCTCAGAAACTTGTCGAATCCTCCATAAATGACTGTCCCGCCTTCAACGAGTTCGATGCGCACAATGTTTCCATAACAATTTCGGACCTCGCCAAGAATTTCGTCCACAGCAAGATGATCAGGAATGACAGGACGCTGATGCTCTTCCGTGATTACACGAGCTGTGGGATGGTACATATATATCATACTTAAACTTAGAGACAGGTACAATATTTGAATTCTGATACCTGCTACCAACTTCTTGCGACATTGATTGTCATAAAAGTCACCTTCAGTCAAAATCCTGTCTCCGTCTTGGACTGTCCACTCGTTCGGCGGCTTAACTGCTGCATAAACTGTAGCGACCGCCGAAATTGCAGTGCATTGCTTTCCGGCTGATTCCCCGAATACGGCTGCCGTTTGGCAGAAACTTAACTGTAACGACGACATCCACGTCTTTCCCGTTATGGCGATGTATCCAGTATTTACCCGATGTTGACGCTGCCTAATGTTTATTACTGGACTTGGAGTAGCACTTTCTTCTTGAATCATTAGATCCTGGATACGGATTCCATTCAAATTGAACTGCTCAATGGTGACATTTGAGTATCCATCGTTGTTGACCAGCAGCCACTGGAGCGCCTCTCGAAGCACTGGAGGAAATAATTAAATAATTAAATAATTAATACTCGAATATAGATCAACCACGTAAATATGCTATACCTGCGGGACGAATCGTGTATGTCGACGAGTGGGGAAAGTTTTCCACAGATTCACTTACTATAACTGTCCCATAATTATTATTTGGCCCAAGTCTCAGCTGATCCTGGACCTCTTCGACACTTTGCGCGAAATGGATGACTTGTCCACGTAATGCAGATTGTCCTTTTCCTCGCCCCAACTTGAAAATCTTCAGAAACGCTTTCGCTCTACTAACCACTCTCGACTCTACTTCTGTTAGATTCTTGATGATATTCGGAGATGGTGGGACGAACATATTGTTGACCAATGCAGCAGCAGGAACTCTCCCCCTCTTTAAGTTTTCGTGACAACGCTTGCAACAGTCAATGATTTCCAAAACCTCTGGAATGAGCTGGGATTTCACCGTCTGATCATAATTGTTATCGACAGCAGCTAGGAGGTCGTGAATGATTTTTGTCACAATTAGTGATCTGTGAAAATAATTTTATTATTATGATTTTTAAAATATCTACTTTATCAACATCTTCAAAATACTCACCGAATACCCTTTCTGTACCACGTACGGTCACAAATTCGGCACCGCCATTCGGCAGCCTGATTAATGTTGATCCTGAGGAGTATTTGCTGTGGTGTTTCTTCTGAGCAATGGGGGCTAGCATGAATGGGCGTAGGCTGCGGGAGAATTGCTCCTTCCTCGGTTGGATCGACAATCCGATTTACCTCGCCCTGATTATTTTCAATATTTGATATTTCGTTCTCCTCAGATACGGTTGCTGTAATATTTGATCTTTTTGCCCACCTCATTTGTTCCAACTTTCGCCGTTTCCTCGCCTTATACGGCATTGCTCGTAAACTTAATTAAAAATTTGTAATTTAAAAAGTACTACAAATATTGTATTTATTTTGTATTTTAAGCAGAAATGTCGGGAAGCAACAATGGAGCTGAAGTATCTGCTCGTCGAGTTCCCACACAACAGGGGTACACTGAGACGAGTCTCCATATGCCTACGCAGACAACTTATTTTTTTCTATAAGTAGTAAATTTGTATTTGCATCTTCATCAATATTTTAGTTTGAAAGTTGATAACATATAATTGATGGATTATAAATTCTATACGTATTTATTAACCTAAAAAAATATTTTAATTATATCTAAAGTATACTCGGTGGTTAAATCAAGTTTTTGCTGTTTTGGTTTGAAATTCAGAAATCGCGCCATAACTCGAAAACTAAGGCTTATTTCGAAAAAGTCAATTAGTTGAGGGCACTAGCCGGGACCCTCCCCTATACGAACCCGTTGAGTTCAGGTCACCAAAATGTATCCTCTTGGCTGTAGCTCAGTGGAGAAATTGGTTGCTGAAAACGCGAAATTTTTCGAAAATTCGAATCTGGTGCCATAACAAAGCTCCATTTCGAAAAAATTTTCAAGTAAATATCATAGATAAAATCATTGTGAACATATTTGCTATAGCATGCAATAGTATATCATGCACCCAATTCATTCAGCGAAACATTTAAGATTTCGAATCCGAAAAAACGGTTTTTCTTGAATATCTTAAAAACGGTTCAAGATAGCATAAATTAGAAAAAAGTCATTTTAAAGCTTCCCCAGATGTATCCAATGAACGTTATTCCATCCCTGTAGGTCAAACCGTTTTTTTGTACGAGCGATCGACATTTCCCATAAGAGTGCCGGACAACATACTATATGTTCCACATATAGCACCAAATGTCTCACAATGCCCCCACATTTGAGCTTATGGGGAAAAAATAGAAAAATTAGCAAGGTTAATCTGAACAATGGCAAATATTTATGGTAAGAAATCTGCTCCCCTCGAGACATAAATGGACTCATTACATACATGCATGTAAGTAATACACCAGTAATCGGAACAAGTCCGGTGTAGGTTAATGCACACTTGAAATGTCCATTACTTATTTAGCAGCCTTATAAATAAATGTTGTTAGAAAAAGTACGAGTCCATGTAAAGATGACCACAAGAGTTTACCTGTCCATCCATCTTGCTAAATTTCAAAGCAACGACTTGAGTAAATATTTGCCAAAGTATTCTCTACTCAAACATGTTATCGATGGATGGATGCATGCAAATTCACTAATTTAGTAATCTCTCTCCCAAGTTGGACTTTGCATCGTGGATGCATTAGAGTTCAGCAAAGTATTTAGTCGGTAATGGTATTCAGATGAGATGGTGAAGAAGAAGGCAGCGCTGCAGTTAAGTGCGATGTATTACCATGAAGATAATTTTGCAGGCGAACAATGGGATGCTCCTTATGGGAAGAGGTTTACATGCATCACACACAATTAGAGATGGACCTACTCATTAATATTATCTCGCTTTGCCACCATCACCACCACCGTCGCAAAACGGCAACCATACCAGTAAGGATTTATGTATGTATGAAAAGTAACTTTAAGCTGACTCCACGGTAAGTTGTGAACTCGAAATACTTATGAAAATCAAGGACATTGCATTCTACACGGCTTGGATATATCATAGCTGCTGAGACCTTTTGTAGTTTTGGGATTTTTTAGCAGTTCTTTTATAACCATTTGTTTTTTTGCCTACATAGCTTTTGTGCTACTGGAGAAGAAAAATAAGCCGCAATCAGTCAGTCACTGAGTCGCGAATTGTGCAAAGTCAGGCTTATTTATTAGCAATTTTGTGAATCTCTTTAGTTTCTAGGTAAATAGGATCTTCATGCAGTAGATTTATGTAGTGAGGTTTTGCATGAGGGATAAAATGAGTGAGTTCAACTTATAAAATATTTTGGTCGGAAATGGTGCTTACGTTTAAGGATCGACTGTCGTTGAATGCTTTATCAATTGTTTTGTTATTTGTGTCTTCAAATTCATCATTGTCAAAGGGCACGAAGTGTGCTCCAAAAAATAATGGAAATACAGAATTTCCAGAAATAGCTATTGGAAATCGTGCCATAATTTCAGACAGTGAAAATGTAACGAATTTAATCTCTACTACGAGTACGGCGCAGAGTGAGAAAATTGAGAAAATTCAAATTTCAGAAGACATCGAAATTCTTGAAAATGATGAGAAATTCCTGAAAATTCCGGACAATGGGAGGCGACGAGATGGTCCAGTTGGTCAGTTGGAGCTCATTTGTTCCGCTTCATATCCCGTCCAGTGGGGGTTTCGTCTCTATCAGGTGAACTGGATTTTTAGCACATATTTTTATTGCGTGGATTTACCCAGATTCCTGTCATGCTATTTGCGTCACTGATTGTGGTGAGCATGCCATTGTTGTTTTCGAATAGAGTGAAGAGTTGTTGGGTGCACGACGGCAAAAAAATCGAGATGCTAACTGATAGAAAGTATTTTTTGTTTGAAATGCAGTTGGATCCGGTTTCATGAGAAATTGTTTATATAAATATTTAATTTATTATGCAAATATGTAAATATTTTAGCTCTGGGCTCCTTGGACCGTGTCGTCTAGACGAATCCTAAGCCCTGCAAATGCATCGAATCCTAACGTCACTCAAATTTTCCAGTCCATCCTGAAATATCCTAGTCTTCGAAACATTACGCAGTTACGTAATGATTACCCCACATGTCACAAGTCGGATGACACATGTCTGCAAACTTCCCTATCTGTGATGAATGATGGTGAAAAACCCAGACTTAAAGTTGCCGCTGGGTCAGGTGAGGTCATAAAGTATGAAATATTAAAATTTCATAATTGACATTTTTGAAACTTTTTTATTACAGATCTCCAATTATCTCCGGATTCAGAATTTGGGAAAAATACGAATTGTTCCCTAAGAGTCGGGTATGACCCAGTGGCTCAAGTTTTTTTCTGCCAAACAGTCAATCCAAAGCAAAATGTCACAATATTTCCGAGAACTTGTTCTGATCCGGTGAAATGTGCAACGGTTTACATGGCTCAAAATGTGAGAATTTAAATAAAAGTTTGTTAAGTAACTTCATTAAGAAATAATTATGATAAATGGTGTCCAATTAGGAAAACTGTTCGCATGAAGCACCCACAGTTTCTTACAAGGACTGTCGACCAGATTCCGGTTGCGGAAAAATGACCTATGCAGCTGATTACTTGCCATCAGTTGCGATTTGTTTGATACGAGGGACAGGTGACGAATTGGGCGGCAGTGTCGCTGTCCCCTTCTTTTACTCGCTTGTTACAGATTCTCATGGACAGCCGGAGAGGTGTAAGTTGTGATATTACATAGATATAATATTTTTTGGGGTAAAAAAACTTAAAAATTACACACTATACAATTTAGACCTGAATTGGAACGATGCTAATCCCACAAAAATGTTGCAAATAATGGAACTGTCTGAATCGTCGTTCTATGCTGGACAAGAATTCGCGATACAGTGCAAAGCAAGCTACTACTACTTCGGGTCTGGACTTTATTTCGAAATAAAATCGGAATTATCAGTTTCTAGAATACCAGCTAATGAAACGACATACACAAAACGGACGACAGGAAAAAGTGGAACTTTTATAGATCTTGAATATTTGAGGATTTTAGCAGTTCAAAATTATGTGGCATGGACCCCAGGAGTTTACCAAATTCAGTGCAATGCTCCGGTTTGGAATACGACGGAATGGGTATCGACAAACGCGACGTTTACCGTGTTGGGTTAGTTAACGAAGAAATTAACTTAATTAAAAAATCAATTAGGCTAACAATATGTGATAAAATGTGCATTTAAAGAATCCACCCCACCGAAATTTTTTGATGGAAACACAACCGAAACTTTATATTACAAACCCAACCTGCAAATATTATGTATCAGCCGTGGCGTTCCGAAACCCTTGCTCACCTGGACTTTAAACGAATCTCCGCTACCTTCCGGTATAAATGTGGAAATTGGCGAAAATGGGACAGATATTTGGACCCAACTCCAGTTTCCCAGCTCAACGAGGGGAATTTATGGAAATTTTACTTGTCGAAGCACAAATTATGCTGGATATATGGAAAAAACTTTTATCATCATTCCAAGTGGTACATAAAATTCAAAAATTGAACGTATTTCTGAAAAATTGCTTGAATTAAAAAAACTTTAATTATGTATATGCAGATAAAACCTCATCAACCCTAATAATTGCAATTGCCGTGATGGGAATTTTAGCCTTGATTTTAGTCCCATCGGTGGTATTTTTATTTTGGAAAGTGCAAAATCAGCGAAAACAATTGCAATATTTAACACAAGAAGAAGTCGACGAATTTCTATTGGGAAAACCAGACTACATTCCGTTTCAATGTGATATGAGTACTTATGCGTATTATCTCCCGTATGATAAGTCATTCGAAATTCCAAGGGAGGAATTGAACATTGGTAATTAATTAATAATTACATTTCAATTAATCGCAATTAAAATTCCAATTGTTGCATGATTCCTTTATGCAGATTTTTCCAAAGTTCTGGGACAAGGTGCGTATGGGATGGTGATTTATGGCAAATACCAGGAAAAGGAAGTTGCTGTGAAAACCATAAAACCAGTCGATTATGGGATGGACACGTTCAAGGCGTTGTTATCCGAACTTAAAATAATGACGTATATCGGAAAACACGAAAATATTGTGAATTTAGTCGGAGCATGTACAACAAATATTCAGAAAAGTGAGTTGTTTTTACTGAAAAGTACAATTCTTTACAATTTTTCGAAAATTGAATTTATTTCAGAGGAAGTTTACATCGCACTCGAATTTTGTGAGAATGGAAGTCTGCTTTCGTTTATGAGGACGCATCGACACTCGTTTTTAAATCCTAGCTATGTTCCAGAAGGGGATGAACTTGCCAAGTCACCGTTGACTAGACAGCCTTCGTTTTTGCAGTAAATATGCCATTTTTATTTATGTTTCTTAAACCAGAGTCATCTTATTTCTCAATAATTTGTAGATGTCCACAAGTACAATATGTCAAAATGGAAGATTTGTCGCAAATCGCGATATTAAACCCGCACGATTACGCAAATATGTTTCAAATTACGAGACAAGACTTAATTCAGTGGAGTTATCAAATTGCGGAGGGGATGGATTATCTGACTAGTAAAAAGGTGAGGATAAGCCAAATTAAAAATTTGCAAAGTTTACAAAATAAATTGGCAGGTAATTCATGGAGATTTGGCAGCCAGAAATGTTCTCCTGACTCGTGATCTCACTGCTAAAATCGGAGATTTCGGTTTATCAAAACGTCTCCTTCACTACAATAGTTATACGAGAACGGCCAATGTAATACTAGATATTTGCTTAATGGAATAACCTTTTTGGACACCATTTTAAAAATTGTCTCTCTTTTTTGAAGACTCCTCTCCCAATAAAATGGCTCGCAATCGAGTGTCTCACCGATTTCCAGTTCTCTCCCGAGTCCGACGTCTGGAGCTACGGGGTAACTTTATGGGAAATCTTTAGTTTAGGAGAACTGCCTTACGCAGGATTTAATGGGAATGGAGAAGATTTCTTGCAAAGATTGTCGCGTGGGATGAGATTAAATAAACCTATTTATTGTTCAGAGGAGATGTAAGTTTTCATCAGATTGACAAAAACAGTGAACATTGTTCTTATTTGATTGTTATTTGTATAGCTTCGATGTGATAATGAAGTGCTGGAAGAGTGATCGTAAAGAGAGGCCCAAATTTGATATTTTGTCAAGATATTTTAAGAGGTGTTTGGAAACGCCGGTGAGTCGAGATTGTTTTGGTCTGAGGTAATCTTGGTTCAAGTACTGAATTTATTTTATTTTATGTAGGCACATGAGGCAATTGGAGTAAGATTAAGTAATTTAGAAAATGAAGTTATTCCGACTTGATTAAGTATATGACGTAACTAATTGTGAAGAAAATAAATTATTTATGACATAAACTAGCAACGGTATGGTTAATTATTCTCGCTGAAAAATTTCTTCGAAAATGCACGTTCCGTGATATAAAAATTAGCTTAGCACCAAATTCATAGGTACATAAATACGTACATACATATGTATGTACACAACTAAAACCATGCAATTCCTCAATTATTTAGTTATCCTACGTTCGACAGTTTAAGCATGTATAATATGTAATCGATCATTTAGTGACAAATGAAGGGCATTCTTGACTTATGTTTGCGTAATTAGGCAACAAATAATTTTTGCGATATTTGCAATATTTTTTCATGATGCTTTTTGGTACCATTTCCTTTTTGATGTACTTTTTGCTTTCTGAAATTACCTTCAGTAGCTGCGATTAGTTTTTCAACATCCCATAAGAATAATATTGTTAAATACTAATTTATTACGAATAATTAGTCTAACCCCCGTAGAATAACACGGTTGAATATCATCTCTATATATGTAAATACGAACGTACATATATATGCAACGCATGCTTGAAAACTTGTTTAAGAACGCATTCTCTTACATAATACTTTGAACTAACAATTTATTTCATGACTACATTTGGCAATTTTTTGTTAAAATAGTAATACACACACCAGACGTTGTATATGTAATGTGTAATTCTTGCAATTTATACTGGTTTTAATTATATGTAATAAACGCTGTATTTGAAATATAGCCTTACCTGGCGTTACCTGAATTTACGTTCAGGTATTGTAGATTGTTTACAGAATTACATGCATCAGAAGAATAAAGAGGTTTGGAAGTTCCTATGTATTTAAAACCCAATTCCTTCTCAATCACACTTGACAAATTTAACAGCGGCAGACGAAATTGGATTTTGGACGTTCTCCAGTGTTTGCAGAAGGAAATTAACAATTAACTAGCATTCGATTTCAATCTAATTTAAACTTTTGGTGTCCAAGAGTTTGTCGGGAAGCTGATCCAAATTTCGAGTTTGATGGTCCCCTCATATCATTGAATATCGGGGATGTACAGCTCGTGAACGCTGGAACAGGAAATGAGCCACTTCAAAAACTCAACATACACGAGCATACAGACACATACATAGTTTTCCTCCTCGATTTCGTTATGTCATGAGGCGCAAGCTATTATTCGTGCAAGTACGAATTAGTGCAATTTCTCTACAAAAATTCGCGACTTTGCAAAATTTACACAATTTCAGTTTTGACTAAAAAATATCGAATTCAAATTTTTCGAAATCTGAAAACTAAACGATCACAATTTGACTAATCTCATCAAGTCATCCTGCTTGTTGCAAAACTTCCAAAATACGAGGTCCAATCAAGTAAAAAAATTTAACCATGAATGACCTCTTACATAAAACAGACCTTTACAAAAAATTATTCTGCCTCTAAATCCGGCACCAGTCAAAACAAACAACAATAATAAACAAACGTCCCAAATTGCAACAGTCACGTCAAACTTGTATAACTTTGTTGACGTTTTTCAACATGATGACGTAAAACCTGGCCATAATTATACACTCTTTGTGCTTATTGCCATTCTCACGTACGTGATACACGGGCAGGTCTTTGCTGGGCTTTGTTTAGTGTTTATGTTGATGTTAGTTATGCAAAAAAATTACAAAAAAACGAAACCTGTGCAAGCATGCATATATAACCAACCGGTTTTAGTAGGACACACAGACATGTTTGCATACGTCATCCATATGAAAATTAATCGGTCAAAATGCGAATAAAAGCACATTTTCACATCATTTCGGTACAAACAATTGTTTCGCACAGACCGATATTTCGCTTAAGATTTTTGCAACTGATTTCTGACTTTGAAAAAGCAGCAGTATTTGCAATACAATTTTGCCACTTATAATTCTTTCAATTGATACATATAGGTATAATAAAATGCATCTCCCACTAACTTTCGCTGGTAACGTGAAACCCGGTTCCTTCTCGGGGACAAAGGGTGACGACAGTAAATCTTCGTCTCGTAAATCTTCGTCCTCCTCCACGACGACTCCGTCCCTTCCTTCACCGACCCGGTTTCAAAATGGGGAAGAAAAGACAAGAAAATTTTCATTTTTTGGGGTAAGGTTTGAAAAAAATTGTGTACAAGAGTTTGCATATTAATAAAATTGTTTTTATTTTTGTAGGCTTGGAAAAACTAGTACATGTGTATCTCCCCTGAAAGCAGTGACTCAAATTGTTCCTGCCATAATTGGGGTCGTCATTTGTGACGCTGGGAGTTTTTGATTATTCATCAAACAATGTATTCTGAACATATAACTGTACATATATATTTATTGTAAAAGTGAATATGCAGTTTTAAATACGATAAGTAATTAATTGTAGGAATTTTACTTTAGACTCTGTTTTTCTACTGTTTGTTATATGATATCATGTACATATTGTAAATAAATATTTAGATCAGTATATCAGTATTAACGCTATAGTGGATATGTAATACCGTTCCTGATACAACTACCGATATATATAATAATAAGGATAAAATACAGCAATTTTCTGTAATTAAATTACCGTGCAATTTGCCAAAATCATCGTAACTTTCATGGTAAAGTTTCCAAATAAATATTGAACATAAATTATTTTATTGTGAACCTTTGTGGTTTTTGGCTAATGATGATTGAGGTGATTTGTATTAAAAGTCATATTTACCTAATATTCAAAATATTCACCAACTATTAAATAATCAATACAGATTGATGGGTTTCAAATCTAGAATTCAACCGGCTTACAGATACATGCGTGTACTGTACACTGTCACACTTTTTCTAGAAATTCGCTCTTCAAAATAAATAGAATGTGATAATAATAATGATGGCGAGTTGGACGTTTGGATATTTGGGAAGTTCAGGAAAAAGGAAACATTACGCTGGATGGAAATTATGCGTTCAACTTTATGGTGATGGGTGCGTGGTCAGGAGGAAATTGTCATGGACTTTACAAAGTTCAAGAGTCAGCAAGAATCAAGGGACAGGTTGACAACTGCGAGCACATGCTTCGCTTGGCCAAAATTTTGGCAAATTATTAAACCGTACTCATAATCTAAGCCAAACCTTACTACAAAATTCTAACCCAGAAAATGTATGTATTTCGCTCTGGAATATCTATGTACCTAATAGTGTGCGCAATTTTCATTAAGGCAAATAATAATTCTTCTTACTTTCGTAAAGTTCAAGAGGCCAAACTAAATTCCAACCTTATAAATGTCAGTAAGGAAACGAAGCTCACTTATCTAAATAGAGTGAGATTCCTACTGTGGTCGGAACATCATAAAGATCAGAGAAAGTGCCACGATCTACATAAATATGTATGTATTTCTGAGGAACGTAAGATTAGTGGAGAAATTGTGACATCTTCCTGGCGACTATTACAACTGTTTCTGTGGTTTTGCATCATTGTCCCAGTAATAATTTAGGTTGAAGAGAACGTTAGCTGAATTCATGTAAGTATTTAGGTTTCTGGGTTTAAAATTATTGTATCTTAAGATAATACACACTGAAGTACATTAATGCAATATACAATTACCTTACATACATGACAAACTACATATGTATTCGACCATATATAGTACTTATTTAACCTGGTAGTTCATATTATACAGCTACATACACCCGCATCCATTACATACAGGCTAAATACCAGTAGAAAGTAACAGAAGTTGACGAAACCGGTACGAAACTTCTCACGTCCGTCAGATTTCCTTAATCGAACCATTACGCACTCGACAACCCTCGCTCGGATGATCATGACACACAGATGATCACAGATCACACCCTTCAAAAATATCAGGCTTTCAAAATTCAATTTCACATCCATTCCAGCTTCACCCTATCATCATCCCCTTCCCCTTGATCCTGCTCATCTGGTAAAATTCCCACAAAACCCAGTATTGAAATTCGTCTGGTGTCTGAGATATGATCCATGACTCATCCATTATGATGGTGACGGGATTAGCCTAATTGCTTTTATGTATATTCCAATCTGAGGGTGCGTTTGTAGGGGAATTTTTGCCTCATTTATTCATGACTGCTGGAATTTTCTGAAAATGAGAAAATAATAATCATTGTGAAAATGATTATGCATTAGTCTCATTTTTGCTTTCCATATCTAACTCAAAGACACACTTTCACCAAATAAATACGTTCAGAAGTTCATTATTTGTCTCTGCATAAGGTTGAGATAGATTGTACGACACACACTATTCATAAATTTAGACCCCATTCCATGCTTACTTTTATTACCAACTTAAAGTACACTACGGTTACACATAGTGCGTGTGCCGTCATCAATTTACCATATGATTCTATTTTGTGTTGACACATAAATATGCATAAACTTGTCTAACTCAAGTATGGAATTCAAGTGGGTGAAAGCATTATGCATACAGATAAATTAACACACAATGAATACATAACACATAAATTTAAATTTAATCAAAAAAATAATACTGTATTTTATTTTGCGTTATTCGATATTAAATATTACACGATAAGCAACGTTGTACCAGCAAGAACAAGACGTAACAACAAAATATAAATATAACAAATCGAAAAAATAAACCAATTACTTAATAGTCAACAATTATACTTCCATTTTTAAATTTGGTATTGAGGATTGCCACCCTGTCGAAAAACTTGTTCCATGGCACGGTCCATCTTTTCGGGATGGAGACCGCTTCGCCTCCTTCGTCCCCAACCACCCCCGTGACCACCGTCGGACAAGGATTTCAGCAGAAATCCCACAAAAGCAATGGCAGCAACGTACCACAAAACCAACTTGAAGTCAATCCCACCCCCGTCTCGGGCCATGCTCCGCTCAATTTCTTGAAGACCTTTCGACATGAATTCCTCCATTTCTATAAAAAAATGTAAAAATAAAATAAATAAGTTCAAAATACTATGAACAAAGTGAAGTGCTTAGGAGATCATAAATTATGAGACAATTTAAGTACGTAGATTTTGGTAAATGAGCAAGTACACAAAACTTTGATAAAATTAAATGAAAAAACTTTACGGATTATTTGTATGAATTGATTTTACAAAATTTACGTAATCCACAATTACACACAGTTTTCGGGAGTATTTAGAACCTGTAAATACTGAAATTTCCCGAAACTTACTGTAATTAAAAATCCCTGTTGCGTGTAGAATGAGGATCAAATGAGGCCTGCTCTAGTGTAGAGTTGAGATTGTTATGAAAGCCAAAGTGGACGCGAGGGAGATCAAATAGGCTGCAGATTCCTGATTCAAAACCGGATTTCACGATGTTAGAAATTTAGCAAGTTTGTACACTTGTACGTCAATGGAGGCGGATGAGAATAAGCATGTAGAAGGAAATAGATTGAATTGGCAAGGTTACGCTAACATAGAGTAACATTGAATACTTGATATTTTTTAGAAATTGGTCATCGCTCATAAGTTGACTATTTAGTTGATAGAATAAAAGTGCATACTTTTTTACGCTTATTTAGAATGATCCACTCTTCATAAATGAACATGTTAAATCTATAATGCAACTGTAATAGGTTGCGCTTCTGTTAGTAAAATCATCTAAAATTACAGGGTCAAGTTTTTGCCATTCAAGTCCGTCAGCTATGATTACAGTTTTCTTTTTTGGTCTTCTAAGCAATAGATGTGAATACATGTAAAGTCATAAACGTTCAGTTTTTAGAAAGTGACGACTAGATATATCAATTTGTCAGTCGAATGGAGATTGAAAATATTATGAAATTTTCTAAAAAAACTTGTTACTTGATAATTACTCACTATTGTTGAGGTTTTCAGTCTGTTTTCATTTAAATATTTAGCTTCCGGTTCAAGGAGAGGACATTTCTAAAGTGTAATTGCGTAGTTATTCTTATTCGATTTTTTATTGGATTAATTATTTGTTCGTATGGATTTAAATAGGAAACTAAATAAAATTGAATAAAAATTGCGTGAAACGTGCAACACCTTTTAAGCAAAAAATTAAATGGAGATAGTTCCCGTGTAATTATCTTTATAAATCGACCGGTCCGTTAGAGATACAAACAAGAACAGAAAATTGTCTGAGTGTACAAAGACTCACAAATCTAAAAGAAAATACAAAATATTGTGAATGGCTCGCTTCCACAACATTTCTTTTCCGAATTGAAATTTATCACCATTATTTGTCAACTTTATTTATATGTGATAAGGTGGTCGCATACCAAGAATTTGATACTTGGCCTTTCAAGATGCCAGGATCTAAAAATACGCTAAAAATTATCCCTCGGGGGCCCTGCATTTTACTTTCTTATGACTGAGCCTGCATCAAACCGTACAACATGGGAATAACTGAGAATAAAGTAGAGAATGAACTTGAAAGTGAGAAGGACTTTACGATATTTTCTCTGTCTTCGGGATGACAACCTTGTTTTGATTCCAAAACTCATTGTATATTTTGCAGTTAATACTTATTATTTAATGCTTACAAATTTACAAATCATGACTGTCTGTGCATTAAAACGGCAGCCAATTTTGCTGGTATTCCAAATAAAGGCTGAATGTTTATTTAAACAAATCGGCATTGAACTTTCCCATGCTTTTTCGATCTATTATCTTGAGATAAATATCTTCAATTTTCAATTCATTATTTTATTATACATTGTCGCTAAATTTGAAACGTACTATATGCATATTTTTTAGTTTTTCGGTACTACATAATAGTAAGGCAATTCGCCCGGTTAACATCGTAAACACAGTAAGATCTTTAAAAATATTTACAAAATGTTAAAAAAATTGCAGGAAAACTTGGTTCACTAACTAGCAACCTTTGTACATAAATATTGGGATTGATTAATTATATACGCTCATGGTGAATAAATAAATTTTTTTATTTTGTAAAAATCGTACAATCATTTTTAAAATCCTACGGATTTTTTAACGTTCCCAAGGAATAAGGAATGTGTTGATATACTCACCTTAATAGCAAATTAAACAATTTTACTCAATTATTTCACACATTAAAAAACTTGCGTTAAAATTGTAATTAACGAACTTAAGTAGAGAAATCCAAAAATTTAAGGGACGGTCCATAAATTATGTCACGCGAGAGGGGGGAGGGGGGGTCCAAGGCTTAAATGATATCGTGCCTATGTGACACATGTTAAAGGGGGGGAGGGGGGGTCTAGAAAATCGCGATTTTTGCGTGACATAATTTATGGATCGCCCCTAAGTCAGTGAACCAACAAATTTCAAGTTCAACTTCACACATTCGTGTAAACGAACTGGCAGAGTAATTTTTGTATAATTTACTTGCACAAACCTATACTATCCAGATGAACCTAAATACTTCCTAAAAAATTGCATTCAAAATCTCAGGCTTTACCGTTTGTGCAGTCCCATTCCCTCAAATGGCTCTATTGCATGTCAAACTCTCATCCATCTAAATCTCAATGTTAATGATTATTACGGGTTTGAGACAATTCCTTTCTCTCTCATCGACTTGGTGCTCTCTTCTGCACTGCACCGAGGACGCCTTCCCCGTTGGACAATGGGCTTGCTAAATCATAAGTTGTGTGCAACCTTTGTCTGCAACGCGTGGAGAAATAGTGTGACCATTGTTTAAATAAATCAATCTCAAAGAACCGTTAACTCTCAGTTTCCAATCAAATTTATGAATGCGCATTCTTGGATTGATTATACATACCTTCGTTTCGTTGTTGTAAACAAATTAAATCAATCGGATTCACGATGTGAGTTTGACGGGTTTTAAGGATTCGTGGATTATATGTATTACAATAAGTCTCAAAATATTTAACTCTGTGTAAATTTTCAACCTTGAAAATTCTACTAAAAAAATTGCCTACAAATTGTGCATATATTTCATGCAACAACTTTCTTATAACCGCTTTCACTTGTGACAAATCTTAAAATATTCAATTCCACTGTGTGTGTCAGTCGGGTAACAAAAGAGAAGTTTTTCTGTGTATATATTCCTTCACGAAAGTTAGCAAGTATATTCTTCATATTAACTGCAACTTGTCAAAAGCACTCCTATTTCCCCAAGCATCCCAACAAAACACTTTTCCCAACAACTACTTTCCCCCTGGAAAAAAATAAGAGCTAAAAATTATTTGACTCGGGATAACGACGACAATGATTTGACACGTGTCAGCGTCAAACGGTGAGTAACAAGGTGGCTGTGAAGTTCTAAAGTTTGTGTGCATGGACAAGTCTATTGTGTTTCGTGAGCGGTGGGTGATTGGAAACCGCGTTTGGTGAAAGCTATCAAGGTGTGAAACGTTATGCAGACGAATAAATATTGTCAAAAAAGTGTTGGTGAATATGAAATTGAATACAGCTTTTAAAGAACCATGCTTTTCCGCTGCATTTCCGTATCCCTTCCATTCTGATCCAATTTATTCTGCTTAATGTACGAGGTTCACCCTTGGTTCTTACTTTTACTCGGTGCTAGTTGGCAGTGCACTCGTCCATAGAGTAAAAAAATACAGAGTCCACATTTGTGCTTGCTTTTAGCTGTAGCGACCCCAGTTTTCTTTCATGATTTAGTTAGACAAACTAAATCAAAGAGAGAATAGAAAGCAACAGAAGCCATACGAGCGCTGACAGTTGGAGATGAAGGGGAGAGTTTCATAAGAAAAGTCGTTTTTCGTGGGTTGCGAAGAATTTGTCAAAAAAAGGAATCAAATCAATTTTTGGGGTTCATAGCTCTTGAGGAGAAATTGAACAAGGAAATAAGTAGAAGGAAAGTGCATCGTTGAGAATAATTGGGACAATGCAGTTTGTTGGAAATTGTTATTTCGGGAACGTACATATACATTCTCACAATTGTATTTTTCCAAATTTCAAGAAAATATTGCATCAGGAATTAACCTCGTGCATCCCTCATCGTCCAATTACTGATCCCTTTCCGTCGCTATTTCCTTCAACCGACTGCATCCTCTCCTAATCTAAACATCCGGTTGTTCTTCCTTCCCCTTGAGGCACTCAACCTCAATCAACAAATTCCTCCACCGAATGGATGGATGGATGCGTAAAGAATGCGTAAAAGTTGTGTACTTTTCAGTGACCAGAGCCAGAGAAGGACGTTTTGTGCGTGCAAGCTCGCCGGAAATTGCGGAAGTGCAGTCGAAAGAAGATGCAGCAATAGGAATGACGATATTAGAGAACTTTCTCCTTCTGAGATTGCATTATGGGTGAACGAACAAGCTGGACAAATGGCCCTGAAGGCAGTAATAAAATTGGGATGCAATATAATTTAATGTGCATCCTTCATGTTTAGACTACCATTGCGCAAGAAGTTTTCTTAAGACTGGTTTTGGGTTATGAACATACATACATCAAAATAAAATGTAGCAGCCATCAGAAGAAATTGCTGTTGGTTGTGCAGTACATGTACATATTTAGTTGCATGTTTTATTGATCAGTTACAGAAAAGTGAATATTTTTCGTAAAAAATATTTATATTCGTCGCAAATTACTTATTCATTTCACTATTTAAGTAACATTGAGCGTACTCACGTCAACCTTCGCATATCTCGCAAATTGAGCAAGTAACATAACTTACAAAGTTTTACGAAATTTGCGAGATTTCGTAAAACTTTTGCTGGAAAACCATGGGATTTTTTTCGCAAATTTACCCAGAAATTGGGCATGTTCTTACATATTTCGCAAAATTATTCCGTAAACTCATCCTCACCATCACCAGTAAGAGAAATTACAGAAACCCAAAAAACAATATCAAACTAGGTGTTTTTAGTAGATTTGCGAGATTTGCGAAGTCATATTTTGCAAATCCCTTCACGACAGAAATATTTAGATCTTCTGAAGGGTGCTAAATGAATTGCAATGCGAAATCAGACTTTGTCGTGAATACGCCCATTGTTCAGTATTAATAACAGTTCATTATTTAGTTTCATCCTTCTGCTTGCACGACTTTATCATACTTCGATATATGAACACATTTACATATGCACATGATTGAAATATGAGATGACACGTGTTTCGTTTTGCTCACAGTCCACCAAACTTGCGAGTATCCAATCCACAACTCCCAACTTTCTCTGCAGCTCTTGTCAAAGGGATCCAATTTGCTAAGCTTTCATTTCTCTGTCTCTATTCCACAGGAGAGTCGAATCCACTTTCACGTAGGTCTCCAACTAAATACATACATGGATAATGTATATGTGGCATTCAATTTTGATGTTGACTTTGATGAGAATAACTTGTCCACCGAACCGTATACTGATCAAGAACAAATGCACGCAGTCAGCGTGGATTAATTGAAAGTTGAGTGTATAGATTTGTGTTACGTAATCAGTCCTGACACATGACAATAGTATTCCCTGAAGGTTTGTTAAGCTATGTGTGCAAAAAAATTAAAGTAAAAATTACGACGACTCAATTAACGAGGTATGTGGAATTATTGCATGAGCACTAATCAACGTATATATGTATCCGTATCCATATCCATACTCTAATTATGTAACTAGTAATTTTACTGGTAATTTTATGACAATAATAAACTGCAATAAATACCTGAATTAAATTTAGTTGGCTGATTTTAGCTACACTTTACATTTTTGGTCTTTGCATAGGCATCTGCTTAATAGGTATATATGAATTGATGTAATGTGTACTAATGTACCTACAAAATCCATCCAATTTAAAAGGCAGTTGAGACAACTCGAGTGCTTTTCCTTTTCCTGAATGGATTGGAATGTTTGCAATAAAACGAAATATTTCAAACTTTCTTTCAACGTCTAGAAGTAATAGTAAACGAAATCTTTCCATGGTACAGAAATAAATTAGTATTTTTTAATGTTACACAACAAAGAACCCACCGTCTTGGGCATCAAAAGGTATATAACAAATCCACCATTAGCCACGAATTCAATCGTCCCTTTGAATTAATCTCCAATTTTGACATCAGAAACTCATCCATCCTAATTGTCAAGTATGTACGGCTATCAAAATAATTGCTACCAAAGTGGAAATAACCACAAAGTTTAGGTATCCCAACAACATTAAACTACAAGAACGTCATGTAAGAATCCTTGTTATATCTGCAAATCAGAATTTAACGACTATAAATAGTATAAATATCCCTTATTCATACAAATATGAATAGAAAATATGGATCTGTGGTTTCACAATGTTGTTTTAAGCTAGAAATGGGGCTCAAAGTTATTTCCACATACTCTAATAATGAGAAGCTTCATATCTTACATAGTTATGCCTGCCATTTCATATCCCAAATCCATATCTTCCACTTGCCTTTTATTGCGTGTTCCATACTCTTGAAAAGTTTCTAGCCAAGCTTATCTGCACTTTCCCTACGCACCTTGAAAAACATTACTTGTTTGAGTTTGAAACCTGCAGGTAGAAAGAAAACGAGAAAAGGGTGGGTTGCCTGCTTCCTCCTTCGTAGTGGTTACGCATTAATAATTCACTAAACGGGAGTGCAGGAGTGACCGTGCCATCGTGCAGTTAGTTCCGTACGGCAATAACATTATCTTTTTGGTAGTCTTAGAATGACCACGGGAAGAATAACGTTTGAGTAATGATTGAGAAAGTTGACTTACACGTGCTCAAAGTCATATCTAGAAAAGTTTGGTAAATAAAAGGAAAGGTGCATTTTTGGATGCGTTTTTTAATATTCTGTTTCGCAGGATTTGTGGAAATTCTAGTATTACTTAATTATAACCTAATTTGCATGTTTCCTAAAAATCTTGTTAAAAACGTTCCCACGTGCCCGGATATTTACATGCCCACAAATTCGTTCTGCATTATCAACATAAATACATAAAACTAGCCTCAGTGCACGTGAGATTTTTTACACTTACTTTTATCGTCTCTCTCTCTCTAGTTCTGAAATCACTACTAAATAAACACATAAAGAGGTGACAATGCTGCCTATAAATGGTTCACTAAAGTTGATGATAATGTTATATTCTACGCCATACTGATTCTACACGGACATAAACTCAAGTGGTCGACATTTCAAAACTCTTCTCTCGCTGGATCGCGTGGCATTGAAAGCGTGCAAGAAATTCCCAGCCGCTTCATCCTTTAGCACCAACAACCTTGACATTGTGAAAGCCCTCAGGACTACCGAATTTGCATTTTTGTAGAAGAGGAAATCGAGATCGTGACGGAAAAGTGAGTTTGGTGTAAAGTGGCTGCTGTTATAAAGTTTGCCCATAAAACGGAACAACCTCTCCCCTGTAGCGAATGGAAGAGGAATTCATAACTGCCTGGGATATTTTGTCTGAAATCCAATGGTGATTCTTTATTTGAATAGTAAAACATGAAATGGAATACCCTAGGTTTTTTGTTGTTAAACTAAATATCCTACGACAAATATGCACATTTTTTGACCGTACATAAGTGCGTATGTCCATAAATCTCATTTTCATAAGTGAATGAGTTTTGGCTTTATTAAATAGCAAATATTGGATTAATAACTTTCGTTTGAAGAGGAAAAGTTGAATATTTTTGAGAAATGAATGAATTTATTGTTAAACACAAATATTTATATATCTGGATCTCCAATTTGTGAACACTTGTAGTCTTTAATTACCCCAGATTTTGAGGTGTACTTAATTATTCTCATGCAAAGTTTATCGCTAAATCCATTTTTAATCCATTAATCCAAATCAGATAAAAAATTAGGGACGGCTCACTTTTCAAGACAAAGGTGACATTCTTATGCTTTTTCCTTTATTTACTACCAGGAAACTATGAGTACCTGAAGCTACAAGGTTTGCACGCATGTATGTGTGCATGTATTTATAGCCAAGCAGATACATACATACCTATATGTACATACATACATAAGAATTAATGATTATATTATTTTACTTAGGTAATTAGAAAAATAATCCAGCTGCCAAGAATCACACATAAAATTACTATGGTTTAGACAGCATTTAAATCGAAAATTAAGCTTATCGTTATGTCTGTCCCAACTTTCACGAAATAGAGAAGAGTTGCGTTGTCAATTTTGAAGAAAGCACCTCCAGTGTTAAAGTGCAACGGCCGAAGTGTTCTAATTCTCTTCATTCGCCAAGATCCCCGTCTAGTGTCACCATCACGTCGCAGGGAGCATATAAATCGGTTGCTTGCCAGGAACGTGCCAGATACGAAATATACTTCAAACCTGAAATTGAAAAAAGTTAATGTAAAACAAGCGCAAACAAATGATGCAAATTGTACATATTTATGTGTGTACATAGATATGTAAATTACCCGAGAACCAATATCGCCATTACGAACATTGATGTGATCACAAGCACTACACCGAAAGGTTGTTTATTCGCAAGTTTGATCAAGGCAAAAACACAAAATGAGGCGACACCAAGTGCGCCAGCCACGTGGAAAGTTGTGTATACATAAAATTGGTTGACCACAATGTTCACAATTTGATGCCATCGGTAAATAAAATACAATCGGTCTTCTCTGATGGGACCCAAAGGAGTTTTCCAGATCTGGGAAAATATGAGAACTGTTAGGTCAAACTTTTTTGAGTTGACACAATTTGCTTATTTACATACATTTCCAAATGCATATTGTCTCTCAGGGCAGAGGGCTTGAAACCAAAAGCTTTCGAATTGCATGTACATCAGACCCGTATTTAAAAGCACTGTCCCCAACGGACCACCTTTCGTTCCGACCATTGAAGAGAACAAAACGAACGGAAGTGAGGCGAGCTCAAATTTTGGTTTATATCCAGTAATGGAATGTATGAATCGGTTCAAAGGCGTGAGAGGATTGAGAATCATTCGCCCCAGGAATAGTGGTGGCAACACAATTGCACATAAGGTGGTCAGCATTACAGTTATTTTATGCAGTCGAAATCGTCGATTTGTCGTTAATGTGCTGGCTCTTTGGTTTAGGGGGCGCTGAAAAATAGCTAAAAAAATTGAAAAAAATTGTTATGCTGTTTCACCAATAAAGTATATTTTTTAATATTTATGTATACATTGCACATCACCCAAAATTATATTACGTGTCGTAAATGCAAAAACAGGTTTACCTTGCAATAAATCGTCCGTCCTGACAAGAATATTCCCAGCATTTACAAATTCATCAGTTTTCACCCCCATCAAGAGAAACATGACAACGACGACACCGTTCATGATGAAATAGCCCGACGTAATGACAAAGCTTTTCAAAGAGACTTGATCGCTTCGTAGAATTTGATACAAATATCGAGAATCACAAAAACAATAGATTACAAAATATAGGAACCAAAGCCACCAAATCGTAACTCCATAACCACGCTGAATTTTGATGCTTCGAGATTTTGTATCCCATCGGATTGGACAACACTTATCCCAAGCGAGGGCACGCAGCCCAAGAACATACCACACTTTCGTCCAAGAGTCCAACATATTGAGCTTTGCAGGTAAATGATGTTACAGTTACATCATTCACTCAATTTATACCCATAATACTCACAGCTATCTAAAATAGGAAACCAAATTTTGTACGATTTTGATTGTTAGATTAAGTTATTTGTGAAAAGGGTACGCCAATCTTCGAAATCTAAAGATTGTTTTTTCTCAAACTGGCGTGCCCCATGCCCTCCTTGCTTCTTCCTGTCTTTCAGACGGGAAATGAAAGCAGGAGAGTGAAGGGCGGTCACGAGAGTAATGCCAATTTTATAAATTCATTTTAGTTTCGGATCGGATTGATCTCTATTCTTCAGAGTATAAATGCAAATTAGAGAAAAGGACAATCCTGACGTCCTATTAGAATGGTCAGGGTAACCATGTAACAGTAATAGTGAAATATATTTAGGATTAGTTAAGTGGGATTGTCCGAGTAGTAATCAAACAAGTTTTCAAAATAAATAGCCACTTTTATTTATTGTGTTCAAATATTTTCGGCCTAATTACCTAGGTACGCGTGCTTTTTCTAGGATTCCGTCTTTGAATGTATGTATGTCGTACTACTACGTATTTACATAAGTTTTTACAAATATTATTTATATGAATTTATAGTTAGTATGACATGAATAAATAAATAGTCCTAATTTGACCTTGATTTTATTTATATCGTATACTGCGAAATTGCCTCTACGAACTGAGCGAATCAACTAATCAAGCATAAGTATTGGATTTATTTTTGGGACATTTGCTTCAAAATTAAAAAGAAAAATTTTTAATTGGCTTTAAAAATTGTGCTTATAAGCAATAAAACGCTTGGGAAATTGTAATTCGCTAATGTAATAAGTAGTAAGCTAATAATACAAGCAGATACATAGCCTTCAGTACCGTAAGTCATACCTATGTATGTTAATACATACATAAATATGTATTAATATTTAGATGGAAGACCTTCCGTCCTATTATTACTCCGACGTGGGATAGGTCAGATACCGTTGTTATTTATGTATTTACATTTGTACATAATCCAAAACAAATTATTTCTGCATGAGAATCGCATGGAAATAATAGTGGGTTCCTTAAAGGAATAAGTAAATATATACGAACGTGTAAATATGATAACTACTGTATTTACATAATATAAGAATCATTACGTATGGTATAAGCATAATATGAACGTATTTATGAATATATGTATTAATCGATCAATTTTTTATTATGAAAAAAGTCAATCCTTGATTTAAGAAATATTGTCGTTTATCGATCAGCAAATTTGAATGCATTGTTCCCCAAGAGTTCGTATCACCTTTTTTAAATCTTTCCAAGTTTTGGCAGAGCAGTATAAGATCGCAATAATTACGTATCCCATCGATTGAAAGCAAAAAATGCTGAAGACCTTCCACCAACGCATATCCTCAAATGCGATAATGATGTTTCCAAATATAGCTCTCGGGACGGAAAATAAGACCATTATTATGGGTAATTTCAAATAAACGAAGATCGTACAAAAATTATTATTTTCTTATATTTATAGTATACGACGCACATTTATGCATACAAAGTGTAATAATTATCATTTATCCGTCACCTTTCTTGCCTATTTATGGTCGTTGAACTTCCAGTTGACTGCCTCGTAGCTCTCATCGCTCGAAATGTACTCACAAAAAAGAAAAGGTTGAATGATGCAAGGACAAAAATCATGGTAACGGAGGCAACAATAGTAACTAGTGAATTGGGTGGAAAAGGGACGACCCTAATGAGAAACATTTAGCGTTGATAAGATTGTAAATTAATTGGTTCTCAATATTGTTATATATTTAGCAATACATACATTGCGACAGAAACGATTGATGCAAAGAGGAGGGTCACCGTCGAATAATAAATGAAAATCCGTTTGTGATCCCTACTTGCGGCTGGTTTCAATGTGCTTCGTCTACATTTCCAGCACAACATATTTATTTAAATACAATCAACATGCCGAATTAATTTACTAAAAAAAATTAGGGGCAACTTGCTTGAAAGTGTACCAAAAGTTGAAGCTGATTGCTGTCACCCATCCATGTATAGCCAGGTCCAACCATGACCCCAGCAAAGCTATCATTCAAATTAAATTACTATTTGTACAACCTGGGACTCATAATCTAGTTATTTTTGAAAATTTACCCAGCTTAAGCCAAAAATGGAGAATGTTGTCAAGTTTATCAGCTAGTACGTAGAGTGGAGGTGATTTTAATAAATAAGGAAAATAGAACGAGAAAAAGTAAATTCTGATAGAAGTGAATATCCAGAGACAAAGGATAAGGCTAAATTGTAGCCAGTACTGAACGTTACGTCTTAGTTTCCATATCAAAAGGTGAACAATGATGACCACGGTGACCAATGTGAAGAGAACGCAGTTGTTTACAAGATCTAGCCGAAAGAAGAGGTGAAAAATGCTGAACTGTTGCAAATAAAAATATTTCAGTGATGAGTATATCCAAATAAGCGCAACTAAATTTAATAAATATTTTCCCAACGTTATAACGTTCCTCAATTTTCTTCTGGATTTGTGTTTCAAAAAATGTAGAATTCTGAAGCACAGTGAAGAATGCAATCGCCTGACTAAAATTATTCTGGCTGGTTACATTTTGTACGCATGTCATTTTACCAAATAAATCTATAAATATTCCAATTTCTCGGGAAAGAAAGTTAAAATCACTCTGTATAGTTTTGTAATAACCAGTTTCTTCGAATTCTGTGGAGTTATCATATAATCCCGATACGATTGTAAAATTAACAAAAAACTGTAAAAATAGCGGCTTTAAAGTATTTTCCAGTTGTGAAACAAGTTCACGGGCTTGTGCAATATCCGAATTCTCTGTGACATTTGACTCCATATCAAGTGCATGTTTGGTTGCTTGCCAAAATTCGATCACTTTTAGCATTTGAGAAACCTCTGGAGAAATTTCTGACTCTTTGCTGCATCTTTCCAGCACAGAATGGTATTCCGGAAACTCGTTATGTTTCGTATCGAATATTAGGATGGAGCCGACCAGGATAGCAACACAAGTTAGAACTATGACACTTAATCCAGCGATAAATACAGAACTACGCATTATAAAGCAGTAAATTGGTTAAATATTATGTTTTTGTGCGGATTGGTTTAGGATCAGCGCAGCGATTTGAAATCTTTCCTGAATATTTCTAGGGATTAATGTTAACAAAGTATCGTAAGCTCTAAATTGATGACAGAACTTCAAACCTAAGCCTCAAAACAACGAAATGTATTAGTTGCGAGTGTATTTGACAAATAGCTGAGGATCACTATGAGAATGTGAATATGTGTCCGTCTTGATATAAACTTTATTGTGTATTTTTTATGGAGATGGCAAGTGAAGACATTATTGGAAAGGATGTCACATTTCTATTTTCAGATTATTAAAGCATAACCAGAATTATTTTTCACAAGTTACTGACAGTGTGGTAATTGAAAATTATTTGAACAGTGACAAGTGACAATTACTGTAGATAACCATAGCGTGGTTACTATATGTATTTACATGCACAGGGATAACTTCATTATTATCATATGCGCATAAGTGCTAATTATACAGGGTGGCCCACTGAAACTGTACGTTAAATGAAACGCTATAGCTTCAACAGTGTTTATGCTACAGAATTCTAGTAAATTTTAGTCGAAGTTAATTTCTGATTAGAAAACAATTTTTAGTTTTCGAAATTTCCTCTCCCCGCACTAACGCCGCGCAGTCCCCTTCCAAAGCACGCACAGAATTTGTGGACATAGTGTTCCATTTCGTGGTCAAAATTTTTTTCAGACCTCTACACTTCTACGAGGCTTAGAACACACCTTTGCCCCTAACTTTGATCACATTTCATATTCCGGGGATAAAGCCAGTTTGAGCACTCATTGGATATTCTCCATCCACAATGTCAGCTGTGAATTTTCGTTGGAATTTCGTGGATTTCCTAGGATTCTATCTTTCAGCGCCTTCACGATGGGTGTGGTCCTTGGAGGTTATAAAAAAATTGTTCTTCGACTGCCCTTACAAGGGAACATACCGAGGTGTCCAACGAGTTAAGGGTCGACACCTATACCAAAATGACCACAATACATGACTTATTAAACAAACTGAAGGAATTTCCGTGTAAAATTCACTTTTCGTCAAGTTGTGACGATATTTGTGACGAGCATGACCATCGGGTTGCCAGAGAGGGAGAGGTCGGCCGCTGAATGATCAGGTCGACCACAGAGAAGCGTCGTCGTCTTCACGTCGTCTTCAGAGAAGCGTCGTCGTCTTCACGTCGTCTTCAGAGAAGCGTCGTCGTCTTCACGTCTTCAGAGATTTCGAATTCTTCAGAGATTTCGAATTCTTTCAAATTTTGAAACCATTTTGAAATTTTTAAGAAATTTTGAAAACATTTTGAAATTTGGAAAAATTTTTTGAACTTTCGAAAAACTTTTTGAAATTTTGAAGAAATTTTCACAATTTCATAATTGTTTGAAAATTTCAAAATTTCTTCAAAATTTCAAAGAGCTTTTCGAAACTTCAGAAAGTTTTTCCAAATTTCAAAATGTTTTCAAAATTTGAAAGAATTCGAAATCCCTGAATACGATGATGCTTCTCTGTGGTCGACCAGATCATTCAGCGGCCGACCTCTCCCTCTCTGGCAACCCGATGGTCATGCGCTCGTCACAAATATCGTCACAAATATCGTCACAACGTGACGAAAAGTTAATTTTACACGGAAATTCCTTCAGTTTGTCTAACAAGTCATGTATTGAAGTCATTTTGGTATAGGTGGTGTCGACCCTTAACTCGTTGGACACCTCGGTATGTTTCCTTGTTAGTCGTACTAGTCCCCATGAACATTTTTATAGCCCGCTGGACTAAATTGAAGTCCCCATTCGATTCCTATCAAGCTTTCTAAATATGCAATTTCTCTTCACATTTTTTAGTGAAAGATTAGAGCCGCCCGCGTCCTTTCAATATTTTCCCTGCTGGTATGCTTTGCAAGCAGAAAAAACCTGATTTCTGGTATTTATGTAAAATCGCACGAGGAATCCAATGCAGTTATCAGATTTTCATTATCTTCAGTGGCGAAAAAGATAAGCGCTAGGTACAGTTACAGTGGACCCAGTATGTAAGTTAAAGATGTATATTTAATGTAAATACATACATAGATACACCATGCTTTCAAACATCAGAACCAAGAATTGTGCAGTGGTGTGTGTGTGTGTTACCAGTTGAACTTGGCGCTTGATTACACACGTGTCTCACATTGTCCAAGCTAACGTCACCTAGCGGCAGTTTGGGCACTATGTTGCATTTTTCGTTTCTAGAGGGCGTTTTTCGCTAAAGTATCAAAACGTTCCAAACACGTTGACGAACACGAGAACAACGAAACACCCTTTAGATCTGCCGAGACTTGATCACATGACCGGTCTCACCCCCTAGACTTGACATTTGACCTGTGACCTGGGCACACCCACTAGAATTGACATTTGACCTGTGACCTGGGCACACCCACTAGACTTGACATTTGACCTGTGACCTGGGCACACCCACTACATTTGACCTGTGACCTGGGCACACCCACTATTCTTGACATTTGACCTGTGACCTCTGTGCCCCACGGTGTAGTTGACACTTGACCTGTGCCTTACTAATTTTAATTACCTACCAGCTCCACCTATCGGATGTTGGCTGTTTTTCAGCACTAGAGAGCGGGCTTTTGCTTTTAGTGCCTAAACGTTTTTAAAACGTTAGAACAATGGCACACTTTAAAGTCGTGACTGAACGTTTTATGTCGTCACACCCATGGAGTCGTGACTGAACGTTTTTCGTGGTCACACCCTTTAGAGTCGTGACTAAACGTTTTTCGTTGTCACACAGTTTAGAGTCGTGACAGAACGTTTTTCATTGTCACACCTTCAAAGTCGTAACTGAACGGTTTTCGTGGTCACGCCCGCGCCCTATAGAGTCGTGACCGAACGTTTTTCGTGGTCACACCCTTTAGAGTCGTGACTAAAAGTTTTTCATGGTCAACCCATAGAGTTTGTGACTGATCGTTTTTGGTTTTCGGGGTTACACCCATAGAGTCGTAACTGAACGTTTTTCGTTGTCACACTCTTCGGAGTCGTAACTGAACGTTTTTCGTGGTCACGCCCTTTAGAGTCGTGACAGAAGGTTTTTCGTGATCACACCAGTTAGAATCGCGACGTGACGAACTCAATTATTCAACATCGTGCTATACAACGTGACAATCAAGTCCACGCTCTGTGTGAATGTAAATGTGTAACAATTCTTCAATAGACATTTGTATCGTTAAACTAAATAAAATCGTTTCGTAATCGTTTGCCTAGAGCCCGAATTGCGGGCTTAAGAGACTAGTTCATAAATAAGTGTGGACTAACGCAATACATATGTTTAAAATTTAGCGGCTATTACTGATATTGTATTGTAATCGTTTCAGTTCATGCTTACCAATATTAAATTTGTTCGTTTTATCCAGTTTGTTTGTTCAATACATTAATGATACATCATTATTTACCTTTGCTGGGCCACACCTAGCGTAGGTGTGGTCCTTGGTGACGTATGCAGGATTATTACTCATGAATTAGTATTAACCCTTTAATTCGTAACGAAGATAATTTTCGTTTTATAGTTCAATTCGAGAGGAAGACAAAAGTCGTCCTGAAAAATCGTGGTCACGGTACGTCAAGAAGACAATTGTCGTTTCTGGAAGGTCATTGATTTTCACCATTTTTTCTCCATGGCCTAAACATGGCCTAAAATCTGTTGCAATTTAAAGGATTTCTCTTATACCAACCAAATGTTAACTTTGAACATTTGGAACTGAATCCTCCTCCCGCACCATGACCAGAACATATTCTGCAACCATTTGAGCTTGTCCCATGGCTAAGTCCCATCACAGCCATGGGTAATATAACATAGACATGTTAAAAATGGGGATTTCTAATGGAGATAGATTTAGCCAAAGCTAAAACTTAAATGGATGGAGAATACTTATAACGTTCCCCAATTAATGCATTTTCTTGTAGTTAATCATACTCGTTAAAGGGTTAAGCTTGTGGATTTAAAATATTTGTTGTCAAATGAGAAGTAATTACTTTATTATGGTAACACGAGTTACATAAAAGGAATCTTACACTTCACAAAAATTCAGTAAAGATATATGTCAATTCTTAAATTGTAGTAACTATCTGCACATCTTCGTTATAACTGCATTATATATGGATATTTATCGTGGTAAGTGATTTATGAATCAGACCAAGGCGTAAATTGGTATTGAATATATTCATCAAGGCGACAATTAACTGATCATCATTTTGACATTAAATTTTACTAAACTACTTTCAAATCAAAAATCAAGCTGATTGTGAGATCCGTCGCAGCCTTCATGAACTGCAGCATAGTCGCATTATCAATTTCGAAGAAAGAACCGCCCGTTCTGAAATGCAGTGGCCAAAGTGCTCTAATCCTCTTGACTCTACAGGAAGTTCTCTTAGCGTCGTCGTGAAGAAGGGACGCTATGAAATCACGACTCACGTTGTATGTTCCAGACACGAAGTAGACTTCAAACCTATTACATTTCCATGTTCAATAATTATGTACCAACATTGATTCCGATTTTGTATGATTTACATACCCCAGCACTAATACAGCCATTACAAATACCGCTCCTCCCGCCACGATCACTTGTACTTGTACTTTGCCGGGCAGTTCTATCAGGGCGAATGCGGTAAAAGATGTTACTAAAAGGGCACCGGCGAGGTGAAACGTTGTGTAGCGGTAAAAATTATTCACCTCCGTGTTTACAATCTGATGACAATGGTACACTAAATACAGCGAATTTTCTCTGATTTGTCCCAACTGGGTGTGCCAGACCTAAAAATAGGGTGACAAATTTTGAGCGAAATGATAAAACTTATCTTAAATAGTTTATAAATGTGTGTACATTTCCAAACTTATTTCTTCTCTCCGGTCGAAGAACGGACATCCAGAACGTCTCAAACTGCATGTACATCAGGCCGGTATTGAGGTACATCGTTCCAAGAGGTCCACCTTTCGTCCCCACGATTGCTGAAAATAGGACCAGTGGTAGCGAAGCAAGTTCAAGCTTAGGACTATATCCGGTCACGTAATGGACGAATCGATGCAACGGTTGGGCAGGATTCAGAACCATTATTCCCAAAAGAAGAGGTGGCAGGGTGCACGGCCCTGCACATGCCACCATTACGATGAGTTGGTGCAGTATATAGCGTAGATTCGTTCTCGTTAAGCGGGATGCATTACGTTTTAATTGACGCTTGAAAGTTTCTGAGAAAAGTATACAATTTTGAAAATATGACATTCGTATCGTATACTTCATGTGAATTTTTTGTAAGTTTTTTCACATGCGTAGTTCACAATGTGACATTTCAAGGGGCTGAAAACTTACCTTGCATTTTTACGTCCGTTTTCAATATGATATTTCCAGCATTGACAAATTCGTCGGTTTTTACCCGCATTAAGGAGAATAAGCACAAAAGTATCAAGTTAATAATTAGGTAGCAACTTTCGAATAGAAAGACTTGGAGAAAAAGCTGATTACTTTGGAAACTTGAAATCATATTATGAGCACCAAGAATGGAATATATTGCCAAATACCAAAACCAAAGCCACCAGATTTTAACACCGGGACCTTGTGACTTAACGATTCTTTTTAATTGGTAATCCCATCTAATCGGACTACAATTATCCCACGCAATTGCGCGAAGCCCACAAATGTACCAAAATTTGGTCCATTTAGTCAGCATTTTAAAATTTTGGACTACGTGACCAAAGTAGGTTTCACGTATGAACAAAGTATTTACATATATTTAAAGTACATATGCATGTTTATGTATCTGTACGAAGTATGAGTTATTGATTATTCAGATTATTCCAGGTTCAAAAATATCATACAGCAAGTTTGTAGGTTTAATAAATTGCTGATTGGATTACTTGTTTAAAAGTTTGAAGGTTGAGTTGTCTAGATATATGTACAGTTATTTAATTACATGTATGTATATGCATTGTAGTGCATAGCGTACATTAGCTGATATGTACATACCTACGTGCATTTATTAAATATTTAATAAATTGCTCAGTTTGTCGATAATATTGGCATGTATCACATATTTACATTGGTATTGATAGTTATCTATTACTTTTTCCGATTCTTGAAACAATATTCGATAATATTATAATTTCACGTGTGCTAGCTTAATGTGCAGTATATTATACATTCCACTTAATTACTGCATGCTTTAGATTTTTATAAGTACTTTTATATATACGTATTTGCATATTATACATAAATACTTAATTTGCATATGCTAGTTCCTTTGTCTTTGTTATACAAATAAATATATTCAATAAATTAATAATTTAGCCTGCTTAACATTCTTCCAATCTACGAGAATACAATGCTCATTTGTTTTTATTGTCATACATAAATTCAGAATTTAACAATTTTATTGAAGAATAAGCCTTCAGCGACGAAATGAAACTCTAACCGTATGCACAAATTTTCAACATACACAAATATATGTATTCAATCCGGGGAACATTATCACTCATACCAGTTTTTCACTACCTTATCCTGCCGCACATAAACATTATATTTGCCTTCCAGTTCTTCGACCGTAATCCTTGATAAAATTGATTGAAAGGTCGAATGAGCAAGACTGATTTCAAGATGAGTCAAAAGTGGAAAGCGATTTAGGAAGTTTCCACCCTAAAAATAGATTTCCTTTAAAGAGTTGCATATTAAATTGAATTATCGTTGTATTTGGCTTACTTCAACTGCGACCCCAATGTTAAAAATATCTCGGCTATCCATCTTATCCGTACATCCGGACGTACAATGCTCAAACGCTGTCATGTCTAACGCCAATTTTTGTAATTTAGGAAATTTTATCGAAGCGAATTTAGGAATGGGCGTTATCTTTTCTCTTTGTAATGAGAGGACTGCCAAGCTTAATTCCTTGAGAGTGCTAGAATGTCGTACAAGAATCATTTCCAATACGATAAAGTCATCAAACTCAACTCTCGTATCGTGATCGCTGTAGAGTTGAATTTTGAGTGTTTTCAAACCGCGTTCAAGTCGAGAAAGCGGTTTCAAGTCCTGAATTTTTATAAATTAATTAGTTACAAAAATTAAATTATTTAGATGTAATTTACGAATGCTTACATATAGATTGCCGATGCAGTCGAATATTTCGATCTCGACAAGTTTGTCAAACTTGTTGAGATTTGTTTCCATATAAGCGAAGAAGTCTTTCAGATTATAACAGTGATTAAAAATAATTCGCTTTAAGTTGAAGAAATGAGACATAACTCCATCCTTAAGAGAGCTGTATGGGCAAGGTTGCACGACGTTTAAAGTATCGCAGTTGAACTGGAGCCCTGAAGTATGCAGAACAACATTGTAAATTCAGATGCATGAAAATTGCCAGTTTACATTTACCAACCGTTCTCATATCCAGTGCGGAAGTTCAGCGTCATTTCAACTTTACGAAACGAATTAAAGGCTTCCACTAATGAAAACAGGAGCCTTTTTGGTATCCTGGGATCATCAAATGTCTCCATGTGAGAAATGGAGCCGGTTGGACTCCACAAGTGACGAACCAGTTGAAGCATGTCTACAGAAAATATTGATCCATGGATTGATATTTACATGATTTTGGTTGAGGTTTGCATAACTGACTACCCACCAGCATAAGCTTGCTCACTGTGTTGATAAGTGTTAAATAAAATAGCAAAATTCTTAAAAGAATCCAACTGCGTTCCTATTACAGACTTTATACATTTTCCAGAGTGAATTGTGAAATTAGACGTTCCATTAACTTCCAGGTTTGTGTAAATCATGTCCGACGAGCTGTATGTGTTTTGCACGAGTCGAAGTCGCACCTAATAATCCCGTTCGTAATTTTCGTAAGATTGTTTGTCAATTGTGTATGCAAATTTACGAAATTGTAAATACCAGGCTTTTATCTGCAAACATTCGACCGGATAACTGGTTCCATTTGATACACACGAGCCGAATACTCCTAAGAGATGGTAGATTCAGCGAGGTAAATATGTTTTCTAAAATCTAGTTACACAAATTCGAAAATGCTAATAAAACAATCATTAAAAAAAATAAAATGCAATTTTATTCATGAAATTCAATTACCAAATCATTTTGAAATACGTCGTCCATTAAATGCGATGGTACAGCTTTCATGCTGGTTGAAATCTTAATTAATCTTACAATGGAGGTCTCCCAACGTATGCTCACAGATTTGGACGAAATTAGTGTCAATCGATCACAAATATAATTAGTATGAAATTTGCAAATGGAACTATCTGCCAATGCGCACGTTTGGCGGAGATATTTGCATAAAAAGAGGAGAAAACGCACCAAAAGGCTGGCATATTTTTCATTTTCCAAATTTCCTGCGCATTTTTCCCGCTTTGAATGCAAATATCTCTGCCAAACCTGCGTATTGGCAGATAGTTCCATTTGCAAATTTCATACTAATTATATTTGTGATCGATTGATACTAGTTTGGTCCAAATCTGTGAGCATACGTTGGGAGACCTCCATTGTTAGTGCTAGAATTTCAAAATATTTGTAACCTTTAAATTAACCCTACAGGAAAGTCTGAAAGTCGGACAGCTTTTGTGCAGTAAAAAGAAGAATGAAACAGGTGGCTGTGTTTTTTGTTTATTTGCATGCGGGTCCAGCTTCAGCTTCATTATTTGCATCGCATACACAACAACTCCAGACTTAACATGGATATAACGCGCATGTGATAATAAGATGAGAATCGTGTGGCTTGTGAATAATAAGTTATTGCGAAGGTCAAATCCGTAATTGAGATACGAGTTGCATCGCTGGAATGATCATCCAGCCCAATTTACTCCACTGTACATACGCATAAGTAGTTACATAGATGCGATTTAGCAAAATGAGCGTGATGATCTGCACGTATGTGAGAGACAGATAAATGAGATTTAAATGAATATACGTTGAAATTCATGTATTGTTTACTTGAGAATGTGTACATATGCATTTACATGTGTACTTAACGTGTTTCTCTCGCAACGAGGAAATGCCTCTTCAATTTTACCTACACTTCCTCCAGGAAACGAATTGGTGTACTATATCTATTTTGGAATTTGACTTTAGTTTTTTAATGAGTGTGTCTTTAGGGATTGGCATTTAACGTTGTAAGGTTGGGGAATATGATACTCTTGAGCAGTCAGGTTTTCGCAATAACTTGCAATTTATACAATTGTTTATAATTGATAAACATACACAACTTCACTATGCAGCCATAAACACGTGTACTTTGGTGTGTGTATACATTTGTATTACAATGTCGCCACAACGCTGCGATTGAATTGTATATTTAGTGTACGTACTTAAATACGCATGCATATTACTTAAGGTACCAGAAGAATCTACTCGGCAAATCTCAGGACATAGAATCTGACCATAACAACAAAGTTTTTGTTGTTTCCCATTTTGCTGCCTATGTGAGCATGAAAGAAATTATCAGGAGAATACAGTTTAAGATGAATTCATTAAATCTGTGAATTGCTAATTTACGGTTGTTAAGTAATGTACATTAAAATTTCAAAAGAGTTAATACTGCTTCTGATCATCAATTTTCGAAAATACAACGCACAAAAATGAAAGGAAAGAAACGACCAATATCATACTCCGATTGGTTGAAGTTACACAAGTTTCCGAAAGAATCATAGTAGAATTGTTTGATTTGTTGACTGCTACATTAGAGTATGACCAGAAGTTTAATGCAATACTCACTATGGAAACGGAAAAGAAGTTGGAAGGGGAAGGATGAAAGGTTTTTGGTTGGAGTTTTTAATTTGTAAACTTTCTTCCAACCACTGTCAAATGACCAACTTCTTCGAGCAACTATATTGCATTCTTACGATGACAAAGTGCATGATCCCAATTATTTTGCCTCGCCCTCTTCGTTTCTATGTACTATTTTGTAGTTCAATTTAGTTTCAACAGGGATAAACCCTACAAATTGATTTGACTCCCTTTTTGACAAATTCTTCTCAATCCACGAAATACGATTTTTGTTGTGAAATTCTCCCCTTCGTCTGCAACTACCATCCCTCGAATGGCTTCTGTTGCTTTCTCTTTGATTTAGTTTGTCGAGAATGCCTGGAAAAGCGAAGAAATAAAATCAGGGAAGTCGCTCCAGCTAAAAGCACAAATGTGTGTAGACTTACTTATTTGCTTGTTTTACTCAAGTAAGACTACACTGTCTAGACTGGTGCGTACTTATTACATACGAAAGCTCCCAGTAAAGTGAAAAGCAAGGGGAGGGATGCATTAAGGAAAATAAATTGGATGAAAGCGAAAGGGAGACGGAAATGCAATGGAAAACCGAGTCCTTTAAAAAATGCACTATATTCGTATTCAAGTTCATAGTTTTTATATAAAAATGCATATTTTTTGACATTATTTACTTGGCTGTATAAAATTTCACGCTTTAAAAACTTTCACCAAACACGATTTCCAATCACCAGCCTTCCACAAAACACAATGGACTTACTCATGCAAATATATATTCACAACACTGCATACGTAACACCTTGACGTTGACACGTGTCAAATGGTTGTCGTTGTTATCCCGAGTTAAATCACTTCTTTAGTTTCGGGATCTTTTTTTGAGGCAAAGTAGTTGCAATATGAGAAAGTTTTTTTTCTAGTTTTGAGCTACTTTGGACAAACAAGTAGTAGGTACATATATCGTTTATATGATTTCACAAGTATGCATTTCATGCATGCTGCAGTTAATATGAAACATATATTTACTAAAGACTTTTAGCATTGTGGAGAAGTCATAAAACTTATTTTTTATTTGTCAAATGCAGAAAGAGGGATCTGAGATTGAATTCCATAATATGAAGTGATGGCAGTTCTGAAGAATCGAAATTCCAGTCTCGCAAAGTCCAGGGAATGCATTAAGATTACTTTTGAAGTGAAAATGACTTTTTAAAGATGATTGGAACTGGAGACGTACTTACGCAGTTGTTGCTCAGTGCATCGGTATTAACGAAGAATTTAGTGTAAACGGAATACAGTTTTGCAGGACGCAAATTTGTTATACACGTGTAATTTTATATATTTCATGCATAATTTTTTCGTCTTGCCACACATTTATATACTTATTTGGCCATTGGCACTCTGCATCTCCTTATGCTGTACAAATTAATATCAGTAAAGCTATTAGATTAGCATTGTAAATTAAATAACCAATTTTATTCGTGTTACTCCAAAGCATTTTCTCATATTTTTGTGAATTATTAGTAACATCATGAAGGATTACTAATTTAATATCAGCTTACATACATATGTATCTACATATGTATGAAAATACATATGGAATTCAAAATATGACTGTCCTAGATTACCCAAAATATTATAACACCCTAAATTATTCTCTGCGGCTTACTTGACAGTCTCATCTTTCCTCAGCTGCGTAATCAGTTTACTGCTGGTGACCCATTGTGTAACCAGCCGAGTCTTCTTTTCATCCCGAGAAAACTAATCAGATCAATGGGAATCTGGAGGCGGAAGATGAGGAAAAGATGAAGAAATCAGAATCTATTGAAGCCTACAAAATCCTCCCTTGGATGCAATATTGAAATTTGTCGTGAAAGGGAACAATTGCATTTGAGGGGGAAGGAACGAATCGAAAATTTCTATTTCTATATAATTGCGAACGGAAGATAATTTTATATGCAAAAATCTGAAAGTATAAGATTTAACACTCTTGCACCAACAATCATGTATGGTAAATTTTCTATACCTATACAATTTTAGCATTAGCAGCATGCATGAACTTGTAGAGGTTCCTGATTTATTATTTATAAAATTCTAAATATTCCTAAAAAATTGCCACAAAGGAGTTTTATGCATTTAGCCATGTAGTCCCTAATTTTTTCATCTTTCGTTTATAAGCACTCTATATAAATAATTGTTGTTTAATGTTAGCACTTACTTAATTTCCACGTCACAATTATATTTCTTAACATGATTTGACAATTGACACGCACTTGCTAATCTTCCTTTGCCAAGTCCTGTTTGTTTGATGAACTTTTATTAACCGTCAAAGAGGATCAACTACAAAGTTATTATGTATTCTTTCCGTGAACTATCCTAGTTGTATTATTCTGGAGAAAGTGAACGTTTGGGGAATATAATTTTGTAAGTCTGACTGAATATGTGGTGGTTATTGAATGTGTGGAAAGAGACCTCGGCATGTGGTTACTTTTTGTCATATGTACCCATGCCAAGAGTTGTCATTACATTACGATTTGCATGGTGCAGATTTCACTGAAAATTTCAGAGTCACGAGCAAGTGCATCTATACGTTTTATGGATTCAATTTTACCCGAAAAAAGATTCTGAAGCAGGAATCAATCACCATCATATGTCACTCTGTGATCCATTTTGAATGTGAGAATATTCATCTTAATGTGATGTGGAAACGAGCGATGGGATTTTTTTTGTGGATGAGAAAAAGTGAAATGTGGTTAGAGAGTGAAATAGTAAGCGATTGTGGAAAGTGAAAAGCATGAGAAGTGATGAAATGTGACGAGATGAATTTTTGAATATTTCATAAGGTTAACCAATGCTAAGTGGAGTTGATTGAAGGAATATTGAGTGAAAGTGGTGACAATTCAAGGTTTAACATGCTACTATCTACGTAGTCGTTAATATGAGTGCGATCTACAGACACAGGTTTAGTGGATTCCATATGAATTAAAAAAAATCTCATCCTCCCCTCAACTGGGTCTGGAAGTTTGGTCAACATCAACTATATTGAGTTCGTTTAGGTTTCCCTTTCGAGATGCATAACAAGACTATGCTTTATTGACATAAAGCATGACCTGACAATGAATCGATAATGTATGCATACAGTTACAGTTTTTCAAAATTTATAAAATTTTTTGAGCCATATTTTTAGGGGATATCAGGAGACAATTTTTGTTTAAATAATGTAAAACTAGAAAAAGTGTCTTCAGGATAACATTTTTTGGCTAAATACATATTTTTTCAAAACACAAACTTTCCTGGTGTGGAAAAATGTAACTTTATACGTGTATTTATGGTTCATTAAAGCTTCAAAGGGCCGGTCTCACCACAGTAGTGGCTAATTTTTTGCACCTCTTCCGCATTTCTTGCACTACATAGCAAGAAATTACAAGAAATGTATGGTGAAAGAAATGCAAGAAATATTGTAAGCGGCTCACAATATATTTAGCAAATTGCATATGTTTGTAAAAAACAATTTCTTGCAGTAATTCCTTGTAGTTTCGTTCATGGCAAACACTTCAACTCAGGTCAATCTTCGTCAACATTTAAATAAGAGCTACTTTCAGCGAACCTGACTAAAATATTCAAAAGTCCTATTGCCGAGGATAACAGATTAATCAAGAAATCTATGGAGTAAAAGTGATATGAGTCAGCGGTTCAAAATCTCAAATTCATAATAATGTAATGACTTATGCCATACACGTCCTACGGAATCTTTTTCCCATAATACATATTTTTAGAATAGCGAAAATCATATGGATATATTATCACTCAGGGGGTAATTTAGAGTGTTTTTATCGAACGTTAGAAACTGCCCTAAAACGCTAAATTGGAATAAAGACATAAATTGTCGTTTACTTGAAGTCACTCGTGTAAGTTACATAAATATGTATCCTGCGAGATGAAATAGAAGTCATAATTTAATATTTTCAAAAATAAATAACAATATATTTACGTAACTGTGCTGGCAAAGTGTCTTGTACAGAGATGTACCTCTAATAATTTACTGTTTTAACTCCCTTATTATTTGTGAAATTAATATGATATGAATTAACTTTCATGTCAAGGCTTACTTCAAGTCTAGCTTTCAAAAGATCAATCCTGCCTTGGCAAAAACAATTTGATACAATTTTAATTCGTTCATTATTTGGTCGTCATGATAAGAATTTTTACTTATCAGTTTACTTATATGAAATAACTTTCCTTGGCCAAGCAGATTATGACTTATGGCTTTGTTCACATGACTAATGTATTCGACACCACGACATGAAAACGTGCATTAATTAACATTCTCATTTGAAAGTGCAAGAATAAATCGCATGGATATTTTTATGCTAAAATTTTCCACTGTGACACCAATCTCGCATACCAATAACAATAATTCCTACCTGCAAATATTTACTCAGCCTGGACGTCAATTAATTGGGTTAAAATTATACTAATCCTTATCTCACCGCACTAATCTTGCCTTGACTTGACGAGCTGACGCAAACCAAGTCAAAAATAACAATGGTACCATTATCTCTCAGGACAAAATGGGAACATTCGTCTGATTATTTTAATCTGCCTTAATATTTCGGCATTTGCGTAACAGGTCTCAAGAGATAGGGCATGAAGTAGCCATGTTTACGTCAACTCGGCCTCCTTGGAGGGTATATAAGCCGAATGCTGGTCAAAATGGTCATTATACAACATTTTCAAACAATTCATATCCCAGTCAACCAATTTTCAAAAAATAAAACTTCGAAATATGAAGGTCTTTTTAGCTTTGGTTTTGAGCCTGGGCATGGCTGCTGCAGGTGTTGTTGACCATACGAATTGTGGTAAGTTAAAAATACATAATTACATAAATGTTCAATTTTGTAAAGAAAATCTCACAATGCCCCAATTAAATTTTACTCAATTGTGACCTTAAAGGTGGCGATGGGAACTTCCTCCAAGCCCGTGTGGATGGGTGTGAAGGTTCAGTATGTCAAATGCTTCCTGGCGTAGCCTATAACTGTGAGGGTGACTTTGTTCCGGCCAATGCTGCCCAGTCCTTAACACTCCAAGTGACCGCAATATTTCTCGGGACGCCAATCCCGATCATTGACGACATAATTCCTGGTTCGTCCGTGCAACCTGGAGTTCAGTACACCATCAGCTTTGCCATTACTCCAAGCAATGCGTTGGAAGGAAACACGGTCCCTATCGAAGTTAAACTTTTGAGGACGGAAGACTCCAACTTGGAAATTTGTGCTGGTATAACCGTGTATATCCAGGGGCCCGAAGAGCCTACAACTGAAGGCCCTACTGAAGGCCCAACTGAGGGACCAACTGAGGGACCGACCGATGAGCCAACTAATGAACCGACTGATGAGCCAACTGAGGGACCTACTGAAGGACCTACTGAAGGACCTACCGAAGGACCAACTGATGAACCGACTGAAGCACCAACTGAAGAGCCAATTGACACCGAAGAACCCATCCCTGAACCAACTAGTGCCCCAGCAAATATTCGAATTCAGAAAAAATCCAATTACAGATCCAACCGAAAACTTTCATTTTAAGTTATGCACCCAAATTATAATTTTAATTTGAGCCAAGAATAAAAATTAATAAATGTTACACACAATTATTGTGGTCATAAGTTTATTTACAACCCTACCAAACTGCATATGCAGGACAGGTTGATATATGTACGCGTCGTATGTATTACCGCCATATCAGAAAATTGATATGTTTTAACACAATTTATTGACAACTCTACTTACAATTTGATCAGGAATGCGTGGGTTTGCAATTAAATTATATGCATTTAATTTATAAATTATTTTACCTAAGATTTGGGGCCTTAATCCATAAGCATTTGTACATACATAACTATGCCATATTAAAAAGGATCTAAATAGGCGATCTTTCACTGAAATAATGTCACATCTTGATTGCCTTGCACAGTTGAGGCAATAAAGACGAGACAGAAACTTACTAAACAATAAACAAATTTTACACACAATTCACCAACTTTATTGGTCTAGCTCCTTAACACAGTAGAATAGAAAGAAGATAGTGCACGGTGTTAAGCTGTTAATTGATCAGTACATACATCTTGTACTAATCTTAAGAATATTTACTCATGTATGTATGAACCTTGCACGTTATAAATACCTATAGACACACACATTACATGCTTATTTAGCTGGATATCTCCAGCATGCATATGCAACCCTTTATTTCTTGGGGTATGCAACAATGCTAGTGGACCGGTTTTCAATTCACAATGTACATAATGTATATTATACAAGCAATATGTACATGGCTTGGAAATCACCCTTTTTTCTCAGTACTGATCATTCATTCCTTTTGAGAAACTACTGACTGGATAAATTCCTGAAAAGGATACAATATTAATTGTTCATCAGAAGTATCATTTTCCGTTTTGAAACGAAAATAATTGTTCATTGTTCGGAATCTTAAATATGGTACTAAACGTCATGAATAAATTATATAACGCATTACGTAGATCAAGCAATGTTGAAGATAGAATGTGTTGATAAGCCGTAAAGCGTTGCATAATTTATGCATGGCGAATTATTTAATACCAAGTAAATAATTGCATTTACATTATTAATTTTTATTTTTGCAATTTTATCACACTATTTAGAAGTTTTATATGGATCGGATCGGGGCTGTATTGCTCCTGTTGTGTTTAACAAACGCCATAGAAATTTGGAATCCAGCACCGCCATATCCTACCGGTCAGGTGGCCTACGTTCCTGTCAGGTTACCATCCCAAGGTCAATATGGGGGTCAAGCCTCCACCGGCTGCTACGAGACAAGTTGTACAAGTTATCCCCAGTGCAGCTCGGGTTATGAGACCTTGGACACTTCGGGGGACGGTTGCAGTAAAAATCAGGAAAAGAGTTTCTGTTGTCGGCCTAAAATGACTCCGGCCTGCTACACGACGGGGTGTCAGTCATATCCAAACTGTGGGACGGGTTACGTTACCATGACAACGCTACGTGAAGGATGTAGCGGATCGAAGGAGAAAAATTTTTGCTGCATGAAGAACCGGGGTCCGCAATGTTACACGACGGGATGCTCGAGTTATCCAGATTGTGGGCAAGGGTACAGAAGCCTGGACACGGGTGGAAGTCAATGTGGGGGAAGCAAAGAAAAGAAAATGTGCTGTAAATCATAGTTGACGAAATGAGGTCAATGAAATGCGATATAATTACAAAAGAATTTTGGCGTGCATTTTTATATATAAATCATTTTTCATAAAGACTAATTTTATTGGGAGTAGTGAAATTAATGTGAATTATAAATATGTATTAAAGCTGAAACTGAATTTAAATTTCAAACAATTGTATTTATTTCAATTGGCATTTGCATTGACATTTCTCAAAGTAATTTTTAAATATGAGTTTTAATTAAGCAATTGAAATATCCGAACATCCATGAAACGACTGTTGTGGTCCACACCCTAACGCACCTGGCTTTCCATTTCCACATTCTCCCCAATTGTTCGCTGCCAGTCAATTGTCAATCGTGTATTTATTTAGCGTTAACATTATTTACTGACTTATTTAATTTACCTGTTCGGTAGCGCCACCGGAATACGCAATTCTTACACTTAACATTCGAAGGCAGGGTTACAGTCAAGTTGTAATATTTTCCTGCAGCTTCTGTAATGGGGACTATTTTCAGGAGGTGCTCCCCATAACAGGCTGGATCTCGGTGGTCCTTTTCTCCATCACGTGCACAAAGGGTGAAGTCAAAGCTGCCTTTTTGTCCGTAAGTTAATTGAACAGTGACAGGGATTTCTTGTCCAGGTGTGTATTTTCGAACAATTATTCCACGGGAGAATTCTCCACCATCTTCATTGGGTCGAGGGATCGGATCGCTGAATGAATCACCACAAATTCCACAGGTTATAGACTCATCTTCAGGGACCTTTGTGTACATTTGTTCCAAAAATGTTTCAAATGAAATTTAAAATAGAACAATTTATTTAAATTTTTTATTTTATTTCATTGTATTACTAATTTACCAGAGCGCCACCACAATCCAAATGGTTATCGTTATAGTTAACTGGTGGATTGAACTGCTTAAATTCACCGCTGCGCCATAAAGATGACCTACTCGGGGGTTCTAAAAGCCTACCGTTTCCACGAGCAAGGCGAATATGTGTCAATAGCTGAATCAAAAGAAATGAACACAGAATGAGGCGAGAATTTAAAGAACAACTCATGTTGATCTCGTAATTCCCAAATTTTCTGAAAAATAGTGACTAAAAACTAAATCAAACCTTTCTCTATTGGATTATTTGGGGAATGAAGTAAAAAGATACAAAATGCATGAGCATGGCATATGTATGTGCATACCTAATTTGGAGTGGTCATTAGTGAGTAATAGTCATTAGTTGGATAATGGGTATTGTTATTATTCTCCATCAATTACACGTCAGAGTAATTGACAAATACCTACACAAAATTATTCAGCACTTCTGTCTGATACCTCTCTGTCCAGATTTACGTACATAGGTCGTTGCACTCTACCAAATTATTGGAAATATTGAAAGACAGAGAAAGATTTAATATGTAAGCTAGAACTGATTTAGGATGAAATTTCAAGTCATTTAAACGTATACATTTAAATAAGTGATTTTTTGCATACACTAGCATATTTGTCTGATTTGATTTGAAACAAATTTACCTTCATACATATTTCGGGGTTTTAACTATTAGCAATACTTATGTATTGGGCAGAATGGATTAAAGTTTCAATTGCAAATAATCAACGTTCGACTTTAATTTTTATTTGGTTTCACCCCGTACAAAATTTTAGATTTTGTATCAGTCAATCTGGCTGGACCGCAGGGAAATTGTTAACAAAACTAATTAAGCAAAGTTGTTAGTTAAGAGTTTTGCTAATAATTCGGCTAAATATTTTAGAACTTCCGACGGAAAACTGCAAGTTCGTGATCTCTTTCTTGGGCAAGATGACTATCATCATCCCATTCATAGCAGACGTCGAGTGGTCGACTACTCCCATATCAAAGAGTGGACATGGACGCAAACCTCGAACAAGTGGCTGCTAAAAGCAGCTCGAACCGAAAAGATATATCCACTAAAAAGCTCTAAGAAAATTGGGTTGTATTACGGATCATAAAATGCAGTCTGTTAAGCAGCTTCTTCTTGTCCTTCGCAGTTTGAACAACAATAGAAGATTAGTACATGAATACATGCACTAATATCTTCGAAATATGTACCAATATCTTCAGGAATCGGAATCTGTACCAATATCTTCAGCACTCCGAGCGAAGGTGTGAACATGGGAGTACTCCCTTCATACAAAATAAATATTTAAATTTTAAAGATATCTTTAGAAACAAAAGCATCAATATCACATCGGTTTCTCCTTAGTAAGAGTCACATATTGGGTTAATTTTAGCCATTAGTACTGGAAGAAAAAGTATTTTAATATTTGTGGTTTTAATTTGTAATTAAAACTGAGATACAAGCATAGGCGCAGCCACGGATTTTTTCCAGGGTGGGCACTTTTTTGAAAAATAGTATACCCTTAAATAGTGCTTTTAATCTTAGTAGGTTGTATGTTGACCTTTTCGAACATACATATGCATATTTAACTTTATTTATTTGACTGTAATTCAAATTGTTTCCTCTCATCCTAGGCAGTTTCTGTGTATTCAAATGACGAATTTGAAATCTATCATCTCTAAGGGTTTTTTATGGAGATTTTATTGGATCTATAGATAAAAATACACAGAATTATACCTCGTATTTCGACCGTTTAAAAAGTGACCGTAATCAGCACGCGTAGGTTTTTTTGTAAGAACGGAATTTTATTCTTGAAGCGTAGTTATGGTGTGTCCCATATTAAGTTGGAAGATGACATATGACCTGTGGAATTCGACCTGTGAAAAGATTTTTATAAAACCTTCGGGGTAGTGTAGGTGGGAAGCATATCAACCAGTTTTTGTCCCGGGAGATTTTTTTTACTCCATTCTTGGCCACCAATCCGAATTTCTGCAACAACCCTGGAATTTGTGATTTTCACACACTTGCCAAATGTCCTTGCTTAGTTTTCGCAGTTAACGTTCGAATTCTTCCAACTTTTTCGCCTTGGAGCGAAGGGTAGAGTACCTTCTTATGCACAAAGCCCAACACTTTTCGATTTCTCGCAAGTAGGGACATTTGCAGGGTTTTCGGTTTAAGGGTATCTTTCCAAATGTTACCGTGGCATGAATAACTAGGAATTTTCCAAGAATTTAGTTTTCATGAACAACTTCCGTTGATAATCTATATTGGCAAGGCTGCCTGCGTGAAAAAATGCGGTTCCCGAAGTCTTTCATAGATCGGGGTCGACTTGGGTATCGTGTTTATTGATGATAATTTTTAATGACAATTATTGACACATTTTTTTGAAAAATTTGTGGATGGTGAATTTTTGGTCGTTAACGTACTTTAGGCAACTTGGCTTCTTTTTTTTCCATCATCCGCAATTTATGTACTTTCAGGTTGCACAACAAACTTTTTAAAATTTTCAGCTTCCGAGACAAATTTACAGCGACGAGTTTTTGCTGATGAGTATTTTGATGGCTTTCACATTTTGATGAGTGGCTGTGACGAGAAGTGGGCCAGAATGTTTTCAGAATTTAACCGTTTGTCATCCTTATACTTCCAAATATAAAGGGTGATTGTGGTTTTGGGACATCTTTCCGTTTTGCAGTATTGCGACGTCTTTTTCGAGTCACGTCAGGCTACAATTTAAAGCCAGTGAAAATCACTAATTCGGGGCTTGCTGCGGAAATTAGGATTGGTGACCAAGAATGGAGTAAAAAAATCCCCCGGGACAAAAACTGGTTGGTATGATTGCCACCTACACTACCCCGAAGGTTTTATAAAAATCTTTTCACCAGGTCGAATTCCACAGGTCATAGGGCATCTTCCAACTTTATATGGGACACACCATGTTTGGTATGCATAAATTTTGGTTGAACAAAATACTCAAAACATGCCAAAGAAATTGCCCTCCAACTATGGAAACTATGGAGAATCCAAAAATGCAAACTTCAAATATACCACAATTTGAAAAAAACCATCATATCGACCCCTCAAAAGTTAAAAACGATTGAATCGTTTTTAAAAAATTCTCCATACAAGTCGGTGCCTGATGCGGCCATGCAGTCAAAGATAAAGTCCAACCACTTGTATCACATTAAGGCCCATAAAATGGTGGTCAAAACGTATGCAAAGAAATCTTCAGCAAAACATAAGGGAACTGAAGAAAAAATGGTAATCGCACGATCGCTGAAGCTTTACAACAAAATCTCACCAAAAAAGTTGGTCACTGACGACGAGCCCTGCGTCCTTAAAAACGTGACAGAAACTCCGAGAAGGCAATTTTTTCATGGAAAATATATCTCTCAACTGAAAACCGGAGAGGAATTAAAATGTTTTTCGAAATTTCTCAAAAAATCTCAGGTTTGGCTGGCATTCCGTCAATTTGGACATGTTTCGGACCTCTCATTTCAGAATGGCTATGGGGACGCACAGGTTTGTTTTCGGAAATGTATGATAGACCGTCTGATTCCTTTCATCAATGAGTATCAAAAAATATAAAATGTAATTTTTTGGACCGACCTTGGACTAATCCACAATCCAACAACTATGAAGTGAGAAATCGAAAAAAAATTAGGTTTGACGTCGAAAAATGGAAACCCGACATACATCCCTCATCTTCGCTCAATAAAAAAATGTCGGCTTCGTGTAAAAAGGAATACTCTCAGCTTTAGGCAACAGTCGATAATTAAAAAAAAATTTGGTTCCGGTGGCAGAAAGTTTGCATTGAAGTTGGAAAGTCTTCCAAATAAGCAGTAATGGCGGACGTGATGAAAAATGTTAAACATGTAAGTATGAGATGCACAACATGCTTAAATCTTCTTTGTTCGCGGATATGGGTTGTCAGATATGTTTATAATATTCTATCAAAATTTGAGACTTTTGGAATTATTTCTTGACCTTTTACGGGACAAAATATCCAAGTGTCTCAATACTTTTTCTTACCCTCTATATGTTTTTAATACCCAACTGCATATATATGTAGCCAGCAGAGATTTGGCAGCAGCTTTTAAAATTCACATTGTATCGTGCAAATGAAACAAAACTATCATGCTGCTCTATTTGTATGTAACATATTTTCGCAAATTTTATAAAATATGCATCGTAAATTCCTTACATCTTCAGGGTTTCATATTTTTCGCCCGCTTTTTATATCTGTATTCATCAAAATTATCCGAATTATCCTCCAAACTTTTCGGTGTATTTTAAATACATTAAGGAAATAATTGTGGTGAAACCTGTTTTCGAATTTGTGAATTTGTGATAGAAGTCGAAAATTTCAAGGATTTTAAAAGCCAAGGTTTTGGCTGGACCGACTAAAATTTGCGCGTCGGGTTCAGTTTTAGCGCCAGAAGTGTGGCGAGCGCTAATTTAATAAGCACATTCTGAAACCTAAAAAATATTTGTGTGCGTACTTTTTGTAGCGAGCAAAATAAAATTGGTTCCGTGTAAATCTTAGTTTTACATATGAAAATCCTGCATTGTAAGTTAGATTTGCAAAAACGGCAACCAATTACTCTGCATGATGTTCTCCCAATTGTTTTATATATTTAGCCTACTAACGTCAATAAAAATTAACTCAAAATTTTGCAATGCAATTATTTGTCGATTTTAAAACTCGTAATTGCATATATATTTGTAAGATAATTTCTAATATTAGTTATGATTTTTAAGTCAAGTCCAATAGGATTATGTATACTCGGACGTGAAATGAATATTGTGGGAGAATATGTATTTACGTCAAATTTATATAAAGATACTAGATATTGAAAAATCGTGGGGTAATGATTATGAAATTCACAAAATTTGTTGCTAACGATAAAGAATGGCTAAAGGTGCCTAAAAATTTTCACTGAGAGAATAAATTTCATAATTTTTCTAAATTACAAAGTTAAGCTCAGTTAAAAATGGTTTTTAAACCCTAGAGGATTTTTGGGAAATTTTGAGGGTGGGCATTTGCATTGAGTGCCCACCCTGCTATTTTCTAGGGTGGGCAATGCCCACCCTGGCCACCCCGTGGCTGCGCCTATGGATACAAGCAAACGCGCTGTAAATGTTTTCAATTAAAAACATACTCCTGTCGCATTCCGTCGTAAATTCCGTACCGACCTGGTCATCGTTTCTCTCGGGATGGTGGCAAATGTATCCAAAATTGGCCTATAAATCTGCCATAGAGTTATTTTAAGATTTGACATGAATTTGAATCGGCTTGTGTGTTATCGGCTTGTGTGTTATTTTTGAATCATACAAATTTTTAATTGAGATTCGCAATTATTTTCACAATATTATTAAGTAAATGAGCTGCAATTTTGAATTCCTTTTATTTTTTTGTTAGTATTTATTCACAAAACACATTGATAAAATATGATATACCGTACTTCTAAGCAATCAAAGAATGAATTAAATATTTAGAATCTGGAACGTTGGTGTATTTATTTGTCAGAATGGATTAAAATTATAAAAATGCTGCTCGGTTCCAACATAACTTATAGTAAGTACCCATTATTGCAAAAGTGCAAACCTTAACTGCACGTACCTCATATTGCATAATAAACCATTAATCATCGTGTAACGCATGCATACATGTACATAAGTACAAAATTTGTACAAAATTCGTACGAAATTATATGAACACAAATTCGTACAAAATTTGTACTACAAATGATGATGTTTATGTGCATTTCGGTGGATTTTTCTACAATACATCCGACAACAAAATGAGCAACATAAACCCAACACGTGGCTTTTGTACATATCTGTATTGGTGAACCTAAGGATGAGTGTGTCACCCCCTCCAAACCTTGACATGCATAAATCATTTAATTCCTCAATGCTAGATAATTATAAACTTTGTAAAAAAAATGAAATTACCAGATGTCGTGTGATCAGTGCTTGACATGAGCAGAATGCGTACTTTCCCCATTGATGAATTGCTCTAAAGCAATAGCTATACTGATTACCTACAAGGTATCCTATTAAGTAATTAATAGGAATGATTGAATCATATTATTTACCAGTCAATCTTCGTTCAATGCGGTACTGAATCAACAATGGCGTCTGCCACAGACATATCTAATTCATCCCACTAAGGCGACACGCTATTGATAAGCTCACGTCACTACTTGGGATAACCCGGCTTTTGAATTGACAGCTACATACATCACCGAGATACATATTGGGATCAATCAGACAATTACACATGATTGATCTTGTTGATCTTAAAACCATATTACACGACACTTCATAAGTTTGTGTACACATAATCGATTTTATTTGTTATTCGTAGCTATCGGATTGCCCTAGATCAAAACAAGTAATCAATACTGCACTTTGGACATTTTGCGAATGATTGATTAAAAAATTATTTGATGTATTAGGTGATGCAACAAATGACAAATACTCTCATTAATTTTTGCATAATGTCAGAAATGTGTGTACGAAAGGATGTTAGATTATGGACACTAGATTAGCGATGTGGGCATGGAAGATGATTTAATATTATTACCTGCGGTAATCATCCACTTATCAATTACGGCTATTCGTCACCATTTCGATCGTGTGAATATAAACCATTCGTTCGGATTAAATATCTTCAGTCCAATTTTAATTAATCTTGAAACATGAAGTCGTTCACGGTCTTACAGATTGTTGCCCTAATTGCAGGAACCATGGGTAAGTTCTAATTGTTTATATAGATTTAGGAGTAAAGTGCTAAAATGTGACAAAAATTCATGTATGTATAGCTTATCCAAACATGGAGCCCGTTAAAAATGGAGGGAGACCATCGGGCATCCTAGTGGACGAGGACGCCGTCCCAGTCGTGAACGGTACTTTAGTCTTAAATTTTACTGACAAAATTTCCAAATATTATTTTGATACATAAATTTCATACAATTTTAGTCACAACTTGCGGCGGATATATCAACTCGTCCTCAGCCACTATCAGTTACCAACCCGGCGCATCCATCAGAGCTGATCAAGTGTGCGTTTGGGTCGTAAAGGCACCATACGACTCGATTCGGTTTCACCTCGTCTCAACAGGGCTGGGCGAAAATGATGGGCTTTATTTGACCCGATTTATTAATTTAATTCCAGGATTTCAATATAACATGTAACACAAATCGCATAAATTAATTTTTCCAAAATTTTCCAAAATTGCATATTTATCTATAATTTGGGCTTTTAGTTCAACGATTGGAGAGAATTATACATACACAGCTGGACCAGTTTTAGTCACATTGAGCGTTGGACACGCCCCGACGCGAGGGTTTACTCTACAATTTTTCTCGAGCGGACTGGCTGACGTTTCCACGCCAGATTATACTGGCTACACGAGCCTTACTTTGAACAATGGGAATTTTTCATACCCTGCTGACGGCTCGAATTACAGGAATAATGAGAGAGCATTCTTTCTCGTCAATCCAACCGTCCCTTCCATAAGGACGTTGAGATTTACTCGTATGGACCTTGAGAGCGCGTCGGGATGCACGTACGACGCGGTTGTAATTTACAACTGGTACGAAAATCGGTACAACCAGATAACAAGGTAAGAATTAATTATTTTATTCGCCTCTAAAAACTAGAAAATTTGTCTAAAAAACGATTTTTTACTTTCGCCAGGGTATGCGGAACACAACTGCCTCCGGTGTTAACGCTGGAGTCGGGGTTGGGACTGGTCACTTTCGAAACTGATTCGAGTGTGGTGCAAACTGGGTTCAGCTTCGAATGGTTGTAAAATAGGCGGGTTAAATTGATTGATTGTGTACTATGAAAATTGGAATAAACAAGTATTTACAGATATTTATTGATTATTTTTAGAGTAATTTTATTCGAAATTCAGAAATATACCTTTAGAAATCAAAATTTGAAATGAGGCTTACACAGTATTGGATATTAGACTTTAAATGCAAATTGAGTATAAGTAATCTGTACATATGTATATGTAGTTCACCAACAAGTTGAGAAATTGAACATGCATTCTCGCTTCCTCCGGTTCTCGATAGTCTGGTGAAATTTATCCCATAAATTTCGATTCTATTTCAATTCGGACTGCATATTTATATTTCATTTTCATTTTGAACATAACTTTACACGTTCTGTCATATTTTTAGCCTAGGCGTGCACAAATATTTGCTACGTAATGAGGTGACACAAGGAATGATGTGCAAAACAAATTTTCTCGCTTTATTGCGGATGTTTATTTTTGGTGACAGCATCAATTACATAAATTACATTGTATACTTACTTAGGTATTTAAGTTTGTCTGGCGACTACCGCAGAATTTTCTTGCTCACATTAAATCCATAATTGATTTTGATTATTGGGTTTTCTCAATGAATTCTGTAATATTTAGAATGCGCAAACATTTAGATACATACATACATAGTTATACACATTTGCAGCCCCACATACAAATGTAAATCTTGTCGAATACACATTATTAAACCTCCTTAGTACCTTTGATGACGTAACAAATCTTTTCAGCGGCTTGCACTGCCATTTCTTTAGAAATATCGGCATGAGTCACGAGTCTTGTGGAAGTTTCGGACCAAGGAAGACATTTCACTGAAACAAGACTCCCAATTGTATCTCGTTCATTTTGTTCAACAATTGCTAAACGTTTGCAGAATGCGGTTATGTTGATGCCAATAACTCTGACCATAACTATGTTCGTTTCTACATCGTCATAATTAACAAAAGCACGTTGACTGCTTAAGTTGTTAATCATTCTGGCAATTATTTTGGCATGTTCGTGATCATCTCTGAGACGATCCACCATGTGATCCAGACAATATATTCCTGCTCCTGCAAGAATTCCGGCCTGCCGCAGACCTCCTCCAATTGCTTTGCGAAGCCTTCTGGCCCTACGCAATAAAGATAAGTTTATGTACATATAATTAGGTTTTATGTAATTTACATAAAAGTACGATTTTCACACTTTTCGACAAAGTCCACGCTACCGACAATAACAGAGCCAAAGGGAGCCCCAAGACCCTTACTAAGACAAACGGACACAGAGTCAAAGTCTTTGACGATTCTTGAGACTGGTTGTTCCAGAGCGATTGCAGCGTTGAAAACTCTAGCCCCATCCATGTGAAGGGGTATGTTGTGCTCCTTGGCACATTTTCCCAACTGCATGTGGAAAAATATTGGTTAACTTGTTGCATGAAATTACCAGGGAACTTAAACTAATTTTAACTATGTAAACACCTGGTCCAACCAATTTAAAGGCATCACCCTTCCTCCACATCTATTATGACTGTTTTCTACAGCAATTAGTTTCGTTCTTGAGTAATAAATATGTAGAAAGCATCATTAATACATTAACTGTTCGTCTTTATTTAATTTATAGTATAACTTACATTGGGTCGTGAATATCGTCAGGACGAATGCGATCCACAACTCCATTTATGTCAAACGTTCCTTTAAGGAGCATACGTTAAAACCTTTCCAGATTATGAGAAAAGTGACATGCATGCACTTACCATCATCGTTGTTTTTCACTTGATTGGAATGAATACCCCCAAACTGGTTTAAGACATAATATTTATCAAGTATATTACTTAAGAATTATACGCATAATGAACTAATAACCAACTTGTGAAGCATTGCCTTGTTCATAACGGAACATGTGGGATTGATCTCCAACAATCATTTCAGATCCGCGTTCATTGCAGTGTATCATGGCTGAAAAATTACAACGCAATTTAAAATTGCATCACTGAACAGGGAAACAATATTTTTACCAGAGATAAAATTTCCCATAGTCCCAGAGGTAACAAATAATCCTGCAGCTTTGCCCAGGGTTCGTGCTACTTTTGCTTCCAATTCTGTAAATTAAGGTATTTTTTTAACTCATAATTCGATAATTACTATTTCATTTATTCGTACCAATAACCGTAGGATCTTCTCGAAAAACGTCGTCACCAACTTGTGCCTCTGCCATTGCGAGTCGCATAGCTGTGCCAGGTTTCGTTACCGTGTCAGATCGCAAATCAACCGTTACGTCCGCAGAAAGTCCGTTTGAGGGGACAGCCACTGTTTCATAGCCGCTGGCTTTCACTTTTTTCACCGACTCCATTTTTGAATTGATGTGGCACTGTGAACAGATAACCTCAGACTGAAGAAAACTAAGCGTCTTACAATGGATTTAATAATTATAATATTTTACCAGACGAGCGTGAAGTGATCTCAGCCTTCTAAACATAATCATCATCCAACCCGTCTTGTCCAGTTAAAGCTCATGTCATAAATAAGTACCTCCATAATCATAAAATTTTTATAGGACTAGTTTTGCTTGATTTAATTCATGAAACGTGACTTACATTTCCACTTTACCTGGATTCACTTATTCCTTAGGTTTTTGATGTGAAATTTTATTGTACAATACTTGAATATTCAATTCAAATATTCGTTATTCAAGTATCTTCAAATTCATCACAGATATTTAACAGATTCAACTAAAATGTTCTGCCATTGGTGGTGAAAAAATCAGAAACCGTTTACGAAGCACTATGTATGTATACTATTATATCACATTGTAATTATCAACAAATAAATAAATATAAAGTAAAATTCTAAAAAGTTAATGTTGTTTAGTTTTAAGAAAGATACATATGCGATGTCTCAGGTTACATATAATGGAAAGAGGTGTGCATAGAAGTACGTACATACATAAGTACATATGTCAACACAATTGTAAATAATTCAGGTTTTATTACATATGACATATACTAGTACATGGATAAACCTGTTTCATGTTTGGGTACTGGCCACTGGGTCATAAATTGAGAGTTCTCGGCTCCTTTGTACATTTACATTTGTACACAATCTCCTGAGATTTGTGTAAAATTAAAATTGAGTCAAAGTCAGACGATTGCTACATACATATCAAGATATGTAATATTCAAACTATGAAAATCTTCCGGTAAAAATGTCTTAATTTCGAGTAAATAGATAAGAGGATTAGGTTTACAAGTTAATGTTTGTTTCCAATGAAAACTTGTGATTAATTAATTTATCGGTAATCATAGAAACATATGAAGTGCATGGATACATAAATATGCTGAGAACCTGAGTCCATTTATTTATATCAGGGTGATCCTTCAGTTTATCAGTTTATCACTTTCCGACAAAATCAACCAAAAAATTTGCTGAATGATCATCACTTTCATGAAGCTTATACATAAACCCATACATACATACATACAAATTTCGCAAGTTCATAAGTGGATATTTGTAAAATGTCGTTATAAATTAGTTAATGGTCATCCTAAATGTTGGATGACATAAAGGTCTATTATGATGGAACATCGGAACATTGCGTGTAGGTGAGAAGTAGGAACAACTTATTTGGGAATTGTGAGACAGGTTTTGCATGGATAGGTTTAGGTTTAGAATACTTGATGAAAATTAATAAAATATATGCAAGTTGAACAATACGCATAAACATACATATTCTTTTTTTGCTTGTAAATTACTAATTATCATGTTTGACTAATCCTAAATGACAAATGTTGGTCAATGGGCATTTTATTGCAGCATTATGAGAGCAATTATTTAAGAGATGTATTTTCTTTTAATGCAATTTTTGCGAATTTGAATTCATGCAATATGTAATGTTTTACTCATCATTTATTAGATATTTATGTTGCAAATGAGCTCTTTCATTATTTATAGCATAAAAAAAATTCCAAATACTATATCCAATTGGTGAATGAAAAATCGCTTATTCATCATTATTTTTAGAGCAGCAGCCACAGCAGCAACAGCAATACTTTTTGAAACCAGCCCAACATCCGCCTTCCTCATTTTCATCTCCATCATGCTCGTCCTTATCCGTTTTGTCCACCTTATCATCACCCTTGTCCGCCTTAGTTGGCTGCTTATCCTTAACTTTCTTCTCCTTTCCTTCATCCCCTTTAACGATATTGACTATTTCCTTCACCTGATCTTTAACTTGTTGTACTAGAACCGCAATGTCCTCAATGTCCACTTTGATTCCCTTGATTAATTCTTTAATCGCATTAACATCAGACCCATCCAGACCAATGAGTTTGTCTACTTTCTCCGCAATTTGGCAAAGTTCGTCCAAAATGTTGACCACAATGATAACCAGGTTGAACGCGGCGTTAGTTGCTCGTGCAACCTTGCCCTGTTTTTCTACCGGATTTTTCATATCTTCTTGTGCAATATTTTTCAAAGCTGCAAGAATTTCGTTCACAGTATCGATCTCTTTAGACACGATGTCCTTGCTGGATTGAATTTCTTTCAAGTTGGCCCGAAGAGATTCGACCTGAACCGCACCGGAAGCAATTGTCAATGCAATGTCAGCAGTGGCCCCAGCAATGTCGGCCAGTTCGGAAGCAATTGATTTTAAACAAGTTCCAAGTTTGCTTAAGTTTTGCAAAGTCTCAACCGCAGAGGAAAAATCCAGCTTGGATTTCATTCTTGATGCGAAATCCTACAAAATTTTAATTAATACGATAAATAATTGATTCCTATGTGTTCGTCTTAAGACCCGACTTATACTTTCACCGATTTGTAGGCTAATATGTAGCATGGTTGAGATAGCAACAATTACCCTATCCCATCTACGTTATTCAATGGAGAAAGTATAAACCGTACTTATTTATGTAAATAAAGTTTTACCATTTCAAAGATGATTAATTAATGCGTATAGACAGCTAAATATCAGAGAAATGTGATGCCCGATTCAAATCCTAAATCGGAATTATAACACGTCCTCTAAATTTTCGGCATTTTGATATATACTCCAGTTTAGCAACTCCACATCAAGGTCAGTGTGGCATTCAAAAGATTAGAATTCAATACAAGTGTGATATCACGAATTCCGTCGTTTAGAACATTGTCATTTTCAGTAAGTGTTTATGGGATCCCATGCAAGCTGAAGAAATTATGTCACGAATTTACTAATCGGAGATACATAAATTGATTAGTGATTCTTCTCAACCATGTCGCAAGTTATGGAATGCACGATGAAAAGATAAAGATAAAAGTAGTTTAGTTCAAAAATTTAAATTCTCACATATCGACAACTGTGATCAATTATTCTATGTATCTACTTATAAAGAAGATAAACTTGTGGGACTCGATTCAATTTAATTCAATGTGATACCTAACTTGTATTTATTCAGTTAGTTCATCAATGTGCTTCACATTGTTGTGATATATATGTATATATTCACCTTCAATATATATATGTATAGGTTCATTTAATCCACACATCAATGATTGCAATTATACATATTCTCGAGAATTACTATACAGAACAAAATAGGTAATATTCTTATTTGATATCAGTCACGTTGTAATCTTTATACGGACAGTATATCTTTATTCCATGATCTGGTGAACAGATATACCAAAGGGAGGGCGGCCTGGTGGATACGAATTTGACCTTGAATAACCCCGGAACGGTTTGTCGTAGCGGGTCAAAATTTTGAACAGACGAGCATGTTATCCTCAGATAGTTGTGTGCAAAATTTCAGCCCTCTACTTTGAAAAATGCCTGCCCCACAGCCCCCAGAAGCTGAGATAGTCATTTCAAATAGTTCCAGAAAAAATCTGGCTCGTGCTTACAAAAAATTTTATTTAAATTTTCTGTTGAGGAATAGGAGTGAGTTATTTGTCACATTTGACGAAGCACTATTTTCTCTACAAGTTACTAATTGAGCTCGAAGAGCTTACTACACGACAAATGCCGAAAAAAAATTCACGGAATTTGGTGTTTTCCCGTGAGGAGAACTTTTGTAAACAGTTTTAAGTTGTGGGTGCAATGTCCGATCGTGGTGTCCTCCCACGTATCAAAGTCCCCCAAAAAGTGAAGAAATCTGCAAAGCAATATGCTGACCGTGTCTCGAAACCACTTTTAGAGTAACATTTTCCTAAATAGCACGGTAAAAAAATAAATAAGGTAATTTTTATCGTGACGCAGCGTCTTCCCAGACGATAAAGTTGACCCAAGATTATGCAAATGACCTTGAAGCTAGATTGGGAATAAAAATCATTTCGAATAGTGAAATACTTATACAATCCCCTGATATAAGTCAAATAGACTTCTTTGGGTTCGGATACTTAAAAAGAAATTCTTTCTGCGGAGACCGAATTTTTTAGACGGAGTTTGGAAAAAATTGAAATGAGTGTCTCAACTTCTGGGGGCTGTACGGGAGGCATTTTTGAAAGTAGAGGGCTGAAATTTTACACACAACTATCTGAGGATAACATGCTCGTCTGTTCAAAATTTTGACCCGCTACGACAAACCATTCCGGGGTTATTCAAGGCCAAATTCGTATCCACCAGGCTGCCCTCCCTTTAGTATATGCGTGAAAACTATAGCTAGAAAATTATTTCTAACGAACATAAATATTTATATTTTATAATGCATCTCCACATCGCAAATCTTAAATACAATAATGCATTATATTTATATAATCTGATAGGACATATTTAACAATTCTTGTTGATTTACTTAAGTGAGTATGTGATAGCAACGAGAAGTAAAAAAAAAAATAGCTAAAAATACACTAACTAATTTGTACAATTTTTGAGTTTATGTAAACTGTTGTCTAAAGTTTACGTTTCATGTCTTCCATATTTTTCATATCTATTTGGCAATTAAATTAACAGCCTTTGTTACTACATCCGCATTCACACGCTTCACACTTCCAGCATTTGAACCCCATCCCAGAACAAACGTCGGAACACTTGTTCGTTGTCAAGTCTCCACAAGTGTAGCACTTATTGTCAACCCCGTTTTCGGTCGAGTTTGACGCGTGTGGGGCGACAATTCCCATGTAGTCGTTGTTACAATTTACAGCATCCAAAATCTCATCACTGTTCGGGGGTGAGGTCGTCTTGGAGAATTCGGTCGTTATTACTTTGGCTTCTTCTTCTCTGCCTTCAAATTCATTGAGTGATGGTAAAAGTGATCTTGATGTGACTTGATTTTTCTATGGATAACGGAAAACAAAATGTATTTAATACTGGCACAATGATCACAAAGATTGCCCATGAAGTTAATTGATTAAAAATAATTTTTCTTACCAGTAAAACACTGAGAACGATTATTACTTTGACCAAGTCTACAAATCTCGTCATTTTAGAAATGGTTCTTAACTAGGTTTACGACTAATTTAAGTTTAGATTGACTAAATTTTTCGACTTATTTTTCAATTGAGTCAGAAATTGTTTCTCGGTTCAGTTATGCTGTTCTTGGTTTTGTATCAAAATATCAACTGTGCAAGTTTATCGAGATGCGCTCCTCTTTTATTGTTAATGATGAAAATGCACTGTATTGGAAGATTTGATACATTTATAAATCAACATTAGGTTTGCCCTAACTAACCATCCTACAAATGATAGCATATTTATTATTTTTCTTTCAAATACAACAAATAACAACAACAATACATATGCATCCATGCAGCAATTCACGCAGCTAGGAAAAATGAAGGAGAGAGTTTATGACGTCATTTGCCAATATATGTATACCTTAAACATAAAACGCATACACACATTATTTGGCATGTAGGGCAATTACATATTGATAAGGTTGATGGTTGCAACTGCATTGATTAGAATTGGCTGAACGGCATTCTATGTGCACATATTCATTTTATGCAAATGACGCAAATGAAATAAATCTTGTTATAATAGTATGCTTTGGGTACTACAATTATGACGCTATTGTCACGTATGCATTTCCTTCACTTTAAGGGAATTGCTAAACGAAGACTAAAGGATTGGCCCGGCAATAAATATGCAAATAATTATCTAGGGTTTATCCGCATGTGAGTTGTTTGTGGAAAGCAGCAATAACGAAATATTCCGCTCGTAAATTTATATCAATTTATACCGAAGTATAAATTCCATTATTTCTATTTATTTGCTCACTGCTCACCTGCCTAGTTCACCTTAGGATTAGTATTCCATCCATTATGGTTTGAAGAAGAATTGAAATGATACTCCATTCCGGGACCAAAGTGACCAAACTAAACATTTTCGTTAAAATTATCTTTTGACTAAAAATGATCTTCTTGCTGACAACTCTCTGACAAGATTTGACGTTATGACTTATGATATGTGCATAATGTACATATGGGTGTGTATGTTGTAAACATGTAGGTATGCAGGTTTGATAATGGTAGAAGAATTTTCTAACCTTAAATGCAATGGATCGACTATGTCGTCAATTGTATTAATTGAATTAATTAGTCAAAAAACGTTTACAATGAAAACGGGGCTTGATCAAATTCAAATAAACTACATTACGAATGAATGCGCATGTTCTAATAGCGTGTTCTGAGAACAAATTAAGAGAACACTGTTCTCTTAATTTTTATTTACATACATTTATCTTTAACCGATCTATTTTTTTAAAAGAAGCAGCATTTTTTTTAGAAATGATGAAGAATTCTTGGATATGGGTGAACGAATTGGATTTTTTATAAATATTAATTTTCGCGGGCTATAATTCAATATTTCGTTTCAAAAGGTTTCATGCAGTAAATACTGGATGGAAGTGGATTGGTTAACAACGCATGGCAGTTTAAATGAATTCATTGGTAATTTGAATTTTAAGTGTTCTCAGATTTTCTTTTAATTCCCGTCAATTACATTATTCATTTCCGAAATTAATATTTTATTATTCCATCAATTTCACAGGTCCTGCGATTTCCAAGTCTTGTGCAACGTTGGCTCTTGTATTTGTCATATTCTGAGAATTAGCAATACGTTGAGCAGATCTTTGTTCTGAAGTCTCACTTGATCTTGTAATCGTCTGCTCAGAGTTATTAAGTTGGCAGCCTTTGCAGCCTCGGTGCGGGCATTCAAAGTAACTTTTGAATGATGTTAATGCATCATTAGCGAGTAAATAGTTGTAGCAAGGAGTAATAAAAATATCATACAGTTAATTAGTAGGATAGCTAGTTAATTTATGTGTGAAGTTGTAATTAGTTAGGCTGGGGTTGTTTCATCAGATTAGGCTGGAGTTGCAAATTCGAATCAAGTAGTGGTGCGTCCTGTCCAACTCGAGGTTGCCAAGGTGAAGCAGCAGTCAGCAACAGTGAGCAGTTGGGGTCATCCAGTAGTAACGTAAGTCGTAACAATACAAGATTTGGTTGTCCGATCTTGGTTGTATGTTGTTGGTTGTCCATCCTCAACACAGATAGGTAGTATATTAGCGTAGGGGGTTGTTCGCGTTTTTGGGTCAAATTACAATCAAATATTGGCAGGTTTGTTTACTCTCAGCTGTGGCAGGATTTTAAATAGTATTTCTATTGCTGGTCAAGATTATCAAGTAGCTTAGTAGCTATTCTCAGTGGTCAAAGTAGGGCTAGTCAGATTTTGTCTCCTCCAAAGCACTTTAGTACATAAGTATGTTGATTGGGGGTTTGAGTGGGAATAAACAAGGGATTTGTCTATGGAAAAAGTGTGTTGTTGTGTCAAACTCATTTTAAAACATCTAAGGAGTTGTCATTTTACCATGCTAGTACATAATCTAAAAAGCAGTAAGAACCCAGGAGTGCGTAGGATACGCAAAAGTGTCGTAATTACGGTTAGAAACGCATAATTCATCACAATATTTATCTACTTACCGAAGCTGGGCACATAAAGGATATTCAAAGAGTTTAATAAATGATGCTAAGTGTTGTGGGGCACGTGAGTCAGGATGATGAATTAAGTGACATGCAAGAAAATAAATCTAAACTGCATCTTCATTAAACTCCATCATTGACCCTCATGACGAAAAATAGTCTTATTAAGTAATAAATCGTCTGAACAGTGGGGATACTCGAGAATTGAACTGGAATTTACATATAAGAAAAACAATAAAACTGTAGAAAAGATGAAGCTGGAGTTGGCTTGCTGTGAAACAAGCAATTTGAGCGTTACTTTTAAAAAACATAACAATCATTGTATCTATTGAAAACCAATTATTGGAGCGATATTTCACATAGCTTATATTGGAAACTCTAAAAAATAACTCCCCATTCAATTAAACAATACTTTGGAAAATATTAAATTTATTCAATTCCAATGGGCGGGCACTCAACATCTTGTAAGGGACGGTCCACAAATTATGTCACGCGAGAGGGGGGAGGGTGGGTCCAAGGCTCCAATGATATCATGCCTATGTGACAAATGTTAAAGGGCGGGAGGGAGGGGGTCTAGTAAATCGCGATTTTAACATAATTTATGGATCTCCCCTAAGCAGGACACTTTGATGCCTCAATTTGATAAGGCAACTTGGACCTCGTGAAGGTTAAAGAAGAAATGGCTCAAATTGATAACGCAAACATTTTGGTAAGGTTTTGATACTTACGGCGAAAAACACAAAAATGCCAATAGGTGGCATTGGGCGGTAATATAAAGAACCATGGGTCAATTTTAGACACAGGTGTAATCAAGCGCCAAGTTCAACTGGTAACACACACGCACACAACTCTGCACAATTATTGTTAAAGGGCATCCATAAATTATGTCTATGTCACGCAAAAGTCGCGAATTTTTAGACCTCGACGTGTCACATACGCACTATATGATTGGAACCTTTGATCCTCCATCATCCCTATCGCCTGACATAATTTATGGATGGTCCGTTATGATACTTGATTCAGAATTATTACTTCGCGACTTCTCGATGTGTTTGAACAAGTTTCACCTTGTCTTCGCTCGCTTCAAAATTTAGGAGTACCAACCTAGCAACATACTCGTGTTTGTCGCCTCCTCTCCACCTCCACTCACTTTAGGCTACCGTGTTCGCACGCTCGCCCTCATCTGGAGTTCTTCATTTTTATTTCACTATTTATCAACGTCGTTTTCGCTCAGTAAGATCAAAGTGTAGTATATGTTCTTATCAGCCTATTGGTAACACCCGCCCACACCAAATTTGCGAAATTACCATGTGCTAAGGTAAGATTGTACTTTCGTGTCCATTACTTCCACCCACTAGTTGAAGGCCGAGACATTATCATTCATTGGTGAGAAGGTTTAAAAAATTGCATTCATCTCACTTTCACTTGAATATCAAAATGATTTTCTTACAAGGGAAACATCTGAGGTGCCGGTCGTGTCCATCATCGACTGTTTCCCAAAGCTGGAAGTATTTCTTCTTACACATAGCCCACATTTTATTATTGAGGGAAGATGAGGGATGTATGTGGGGTTTCCATTTTTCGACGTCAAACTGATTTTTTTCGATTTCTTCCTTGATAGTTGTTGGATTGTGGATTAGTCCAAGGTCGGTCCAAAAAATTACATTATATATTTTTTGATACTCATTGATGGAAGGAATCAGACGGTCTATCATACATTTCCGAAAACAAACCTGTTCGTCCGCACAGCCCATCTGAATTGAGGGGTCCGATGCATGAGGGGTCCAAATTGACGGAACGCCAGCCAAATCTGAGATTTATTAAGGAATTTCGAAAAACATTTTAATTTCTCCCCGGTTTTCAGTTGAGAGATATATTTCACATAACAAATTGCCTTCCTGGAGTTTCTGTCACGTTTTTAAGAACGTAGGACTCGTCGTCGGTGACTAACTTTTTAGTGAGATTTTGTTGTAAGGCTTCGGAGATCGTGCGATTACCATTTTTCTTCAGTTCCCGTATGTTTTGCTGGAGATTTCTTTGCATACGTTTTGACCCCCATTTTAGGGGCCTTAATATGATACAAGTAGTTGGGACTCATCTTTGACTTCATGGCCGCATCAGGCACCGACGTGGATGGAGGATTTAAAAAAAACGATTCAATTGTTTTTAACTTTTGAGGGGTCGATATTATGGTTTTTTCAAGTTGTGGTTATTTGAAGTTTACATTTTCGGATTCTCCATACTTTTTTGTGTTTCAATTTCTACATGGCCACACCCTTCTCCGGTGAAATGTAGTCAGGCCTTCTTGGAGTCTTTCTTGCACAGATTTTGGTACTTACAAAAATTTCGTTTCTGGACTTACTCGGCTTGAAATGGTATAGGGAATTTTTCTTTTCTTTCAAGGAAACCAGTTTGCTTTTAACTGATATCTGTTGACTTTAAAGGATTATTTTATTTTTATTTTATTTTATTTTTGAGGAAAACTTACGAAATTGTTAGGGCACAACGTTGGATATATTTCTCATACTCTACAAGAATTTCAGATTTCTACAGCGGCATTTATAAAACCACCCCCACCCCCACTTCGATACCGTTTTCAAGTTACCGCTATGTCCCTGATCAAAATGATATGTCACACGACATGCTTTTTTGGAAGAATGGCAAGAGCGCTGAAAG